GGGGGGGAGGAAAGATCTGAGACAGTGGTTGTGGATTTTTAACAGGATATTTAGTTTGTTGATTCCTCACCCAACAGTGTGGAGTCAACGGAGAACTTTCAATCCTTCTTTTTAGCATCACGTCAGAACTTCTTTCGGTCTAAAAACTGGTGTGAAAAGAAATTTGTTTTAATGTGTTAGGAATGTCTACTTTCTCATAAATAAGAAATATTTAAATTACTCAATCAACACAATAACCAATTAATTAAGTGGTTAACGATATTGGTTTTTCAGTGGCTGATGTCGATATCAATATTAAGAAGCAGGGTGGCCCGATGCATCCATATAAAATGCGGGTGGAAATGCAGTATAAAAAACCAAAGGAAAGTAACTGTATATTTCCATTCCCATGCCACTTCACCAGATCTAGATACTTTGTTAGCCAGTAACATGTTCTTATAAGTCTGATTATTTAATTAAAACCCAAAACAATACCACATGGGTTATGTTGTAGATTTCCGAATGTGACTAGTATTTAAGAGAGAGCGGGGTACAGTATGTCAGAAGTGATGTCCATTGTCACTGCATTATTCAATATAAGAACAATATGTAATCAACAACCCAGCCAGTAGAAGGTTTTCAGATTAGATTTACGGAAAAAGACTGACACAATTTGAGGCAAAACGTTTCCAGCAAGGATGTGTGAGCCGGGTTATCAAGCACAGGGCTCCCAAACTAAAACCTCTTTCTAAAAGCCCAACCCCTTTCCGCGCCAAAAGCTCACCAAGGGGGAAGCCCTCTAACAATTGTTCCACAGCAGCCACCCCCAAATGACCAAGGTTTGCCCTGCAGACATTTTTGGTTGCATTGGCCTTGCCAAGCCGCAGGCCAATCACCACGATGGCCGATTAATCTCAAAAATGCCAAGACTAATCGTCACCATCAATCGGGCCCAATACTGATTAATGCCAAGCGGCAGCGCCAAAAACCAAAATCGGCTGGGGTTAGAGTGAAAACGTACTTTTGTCTATTTACTGACATTCAGAATTTAGATCTTTTAATGTAATCTGGCCTAATAATGACAACCCCAAAGGAAGATGCAACCATCTCAACAATAGATTTTTATACACTGCATATTATGTTCTGCTTGAGCATGCACTATAATATATTCTCTTTTTTCAAACCGTCAGCACTCTGTACCTTTCTGAAGTCGAGTTCATCATAAGTTGAACTAGTAGAGAATGAATCCTCTCTCATCAACAAACAGAGGAACCTGGGAGTTACAAAGGCTGGGGAGGATTTCCACTTAACATGAATAGGTATGAGAGGGGACTTTGTGTTTTTCCTGCGGTGGAACATTGAGTGAGGAAGGGAGAACTCATCCACTCTTTCCACTGTGTAGAAACAGCACAATGTGAGTCATGCAGTATTTGGTGTGTGTGCATTCGTGTTCTCACAGTGCTTGTGCGACAGCCATTCACAGATGTATTAATTTAATTGTAAACCAAAGTATGCTCTCTTGAAAATAATCTGTTATAGCGACAATTCAACTGGGGCCAGTGTTCCCAAACCGTAGGGCCGGGCTCTCATTGAAATTCAAATGGGTTCGCAACATATTTAATGAACAATTTCATCTTCAGAAGATTCATTCCAAAATGAAATATAAAAGAAATGAGATGCAAGGAGAAGTGGGAAAACACAGCAGCCCAGAAGACACACTGTTGCAGTTCATAGATCCCTGTGATGAACAGAAATGTGTTTACGCCTGGCATCATGTCAGCCATAATCAACATTGGCATGTTAGACTATTTCTGCTATTATGATTGTAAAATAAGCAATGAGTTTTCAGCATCCTCCTGGTCCCTTAACTGTTTTATAATAAGCAGTCTTAAAATGCAAGCACAAGCTCCAGAAATGATGTGGCAACAGAAATACTTGGCAACAGCAACCCTTTCTCCTAAAAATATACCACCACTAATTTTAAAACGCAATGCAATGCTGCCTGGATTTATGTTACTGCTGGTGTTTTAATAACATAATAAGGAAATATATTTAATGAATCTGCAAAATGTTTATAGAGAGCTTTCTGCAAAAGTTTCACTGACAATATATCCCTGTTGTTTTCCCATATCCACTTGTGGTAACTAAATTCATATTGAACTATTTTCTAGATGTTTAGGCAACTCAAACCACTTTAAAGTTAAAGTTAAGTTAAAATAAAGAAGTTAATGAAAGAACATTGTCTTGGTTTAACATCAAAAAAGTCAATGCTGACTTGTTTACTTTTTATTTATTTACCCAAAACTAATATCTTTTCCCAGCCAAACTGGTTTTGTGTGAATTCTGGTCTCCATCATACGCACTGGAAAAAGAGATTTGTTGGACCAATTTAAAATGTTTTAACTGTAATTGGTTAAGCAAATTAATTACGTTTACAAGTTTACACTGACTAAATCAACAACCTACATTGCTACAACCTAATGCTACTACAAGTCAACTTGAAATGACTCACCATATTATAGTCCAACCACGTTTTGCTTTGTAAACTGAGACAGGAAGGTCAGAAAACTTACCAAATTAGTAATAATCAGTTTATTTATTTTGCAAGGTTGTACAATATTGTGATATCGCCTCTGCGGTTCTCGTCTCTGCCTGATTCATTTTCTAAGACAGGAAATGTTGGATGAAGTGAAAATTAGAGTGAAAGTATTGAAGGAATACACTTGACAGTCAGCCAACTGTTTCAGACTCCCAGTGCTCTCTCCACAAAACCAAGAAATACTATAGCGAATATTCTTCATGGAAGTTTGACATATTCAGATGGATGATTAATACATATGAAAACACACTTACCACCATGGGAACTCAAAGTTGATAATATTGTTAATGGTCTACCTACAGAATTATACAGTAAAAAACTTCACAAAGACTTGCACATCTTGCACAGTTAATGTAAAAAAGCAGCTTGTTCCGTTGTGACATTGGATCAAAGACAGTTTGTTGCACATTCATACCGAAATGAACTCCCTGCATGCTTTAACTCACACCAGTGTGTTTTTCTACTGCGTCTTCCAGTTAATCAGCAAAAGATTTTTATTCCTCTTGATTTGATAATTGTACAGAAAATATCCTAGAATTAGATTCAACAGATTACACACATTAGAGTTGATTCAGTTTCCAAATAATATATATTATATATATATAATATATATTATATATATATTATTAAATATTATATTTACGGGTGACTCTACAGAAGTTATAGACTATAGGACCAAAACGATAAAAGACAAAGCAAATCAGAATAAGTGAATGGACTGATAGCCATTTATATCTAATCTGACATTTAATTTTACTTTTGTGATAGTTTTAGGTATTGTAGATGTGTAGGAGAAATCACAGTGTTATACAAAGCCTCTCTTCAAATGTAATGCCATGTGATTGTATATTATATGTATAAGACGCTCACTATAACTCAATTATTTGACGTTACTGTTGACATGCTATTTCCTGTCATTCCTTGTTGATAATTACATAAGATAAGCCTTTATTGATGGCTCCACTGGTCCTACTGTAGCTCAAGGTCTTTTTGCCTTTGTGTCAATACCCTTAGTAGTCAATCTTTGGATGACTGTAATAAAAAAAAAAGAAACTTCAGAAATTTTTTTTTTTCTGTAAAACATGCTACAGTAATTGTTTTTTTTCTTTGTTCTTGACTCTGTATTTTATTCATCTATTTCATTGTATGTACACACCTGTTAATCAATATGCTGGAGCCTTTTCCAGCATGCACTGGGCAAGAGGCAGTAAAGCCTGTTTTCCAGATCCCTCGAGCCACAACAGGCACGCTTGTTTAACGGTTGATGTTTTTTGGCAGGCTTTGAGAGGATTTGGTAACATCCTTGCTTAACAAGCACAGGGACACTAGTACCTTTAATGAAAGCTTTTAGGCTGAATAATTTGCTTGTCGGTTAGTTTAACAAAACAGTTACATCTCTGAAGAGAAACAGAATCATCTAATTGAGCCTGCTGCCATACAACCACAACATACAAACAGGGCTGGGTACCAAACTTCGATTATTTTATGGCACCGACTGAACTGCATCAATACTACAGAGTATCGAAAAACGTCTTTTCATTCTGTACCAAATTTCGATACCAACAGATTAAAACTCTACAGTCTCAGTACGCCCACACTGCAACAGATTGTTAATGTACATTTCACAGCTATGCAGGAGACAGTTCTCACTTTACCTCAAGCTGCTTATGTTCACAGACAGCTTGTGAACTTTGTGCTGTTTGGTAGCCAGTGCAGGTAACTTTCATCTGCTCATTGGTGAGTTCGTTCACCTCATCGTCCACTGGGATGGAAACCTAGGCACATCCTCTCCTGGCCAATGGGGGGCCAGAGAGCCTTTCAGACATTGTTTAAAGACCGACAGGAGGAGAGAAATGAAGTTGATTTGTCAGACCCGGGGGATAGCTGGTCTCCAGCACAGAAACAGTAAGAGGTCTCACTCTGCCACTATTTCCCAGTACCATAAATGTCCCCCACACAGTCTTCTTCTTTGAGTTAGACTAGAAATATTGCTGCCATACTGTTTGTTAATAATGTTCCTTTCACAGTTATTTATAGTTTTTTATATAGTCCAATGCTCTACATATTCAGTTTTATTTGTTATATAGGTTAAGTAAAGTGAGTAAAACACGTTTCTCCAGCTGCTCCCAGGTCCTTTAATGGCTTCCTTCTTGGAAGTGAGTAATTGCATCGAAAATCATTCAGGAACTACTATTGAGATTAAGGTATCTGGAAAAGTTTCGAAATTTAAAAGAGTTTTTTGAAAATCCTAGTACTAGATTAATTAAGTTTAATTTTCTAAGGAAAGTGGCATTAAAGTTATCTAATGTGTTTTTCAAATGATATATATGTTTTATAACATTCAGCAATATAGCCTCACAATTTCTCACAATGTGCAGCTGTGCCCAACATTGGCAAACACTCTTCATGAGAACATTTTTCTTAAAGCATTCTGATTCGCTTTGTGTGCATTTTAAAGACTAGCCTTATTAGCTGAAAGGCAAACTTTCTCAGGAGTCCCTAAGTAATTCAGCAGCTCTCCTCAGATCACATATTTGTGATATTTAGTGTGAACACTTTCATCAACCAAATAAAATGGCCTTACATGTACAATAGCAAGCCTTTGCCCTTCGTCACAGAACATTTAATAACTGCTATGAACCTTTCCTTAAACAATGTAATAACTTTTTTTTATACCAATAAACTCAAAAAGAACTTCATCCCTGCCACAGTGTGAGTGTGTGTGTGTGTGTGGAGGGTGGGGTTGTGGGAGGGTTGGTGACAAAAAAGTCTGGGGTCAAAAGTGCATAATTCATCTTATATTGAAAAGTGCATTTCAGCTTACTTATTTGTTCTGGGTGGCTGGTGTAGCAAGATTAGTTCTTGGCATTCACCCATTGTGGCACTTCAGTGATTGGACAGGTGTTGTGTGTTTTGCTGGATGGTTTGTGGATACCTTGGCTTATTACTACTTTAACTGCTGAGTAGAAATGTATTGAGAGCTTGCTATGCTTTTATGTTTTTATCGCCTTCTGGCAGCAGGCGTAGCTAAATGGGCCCATCTGAATGTGTCAGTCACACCTCAGCTTCCCAGAACAACTCGCATTTCAACCTCTATGCTAAAATATCATGATTGTGGATGCTACAGTGAAGAACCAAGTGGCCCTCGTTGGGCTGTTTAGCTCGGAGATTCAGTGGATAATGTCAATATAATGAATTTTACAGCTGCAAATTTTGGTTGGGAGAACATGCCATTACTAAACCATGACATGACATCCCCCTTCCCTTTTGCGTGTGTATAATTTGTAATATTGACAGATGATGTGACTCTCTGAGCTCTAAGAAGCAGATTTCCCCGGCTGCTGCTGTATTTTTTACCTCGCTTTTATCTTTGCCTCTTGTCACAGATCGACTAAAACTCATCCAGGACCTGTGGTTCACTTGAGCGACAGCCCAAAGGATGAAGGAAAGGTGAGTAGGCAGATAATAAAAACACCTCCTGGTTCTCCACAAGCACCAACTCAAATGTGACCAATCTACAGAGGCTCTCTCCTTTTCCCACTTCTCTGCCTTGTTTTTTTTCTGGTCACATATCTGTCCTCTAACCTCTCCTCTGCCTTTATCTTATCTTCTTTCTTTCTGTCTTTCTATCTTCCATTCTTTCTTTCTAAATTTCTTACCTCTCTCTCTGTCAGCCTGGCTTTCTTTGTGGCCCACAGAAGGAAAGCCATTCTCTATACATTATCGCTCTCCTTTGTTGCTCTCATGTTTTTTTTTTCTCTCTGTCCCTCGGCTTTTCACAAATACCAACTGAAAAAAAAAGGTGTGTGGGACTGTAACATATCCTTTGAGGAGAGCTGAGCTTTTCAGGGTCATGCTGCAGTCAAATTGGTAGGAAAAGTGGCAGGTGGAGGTTGCTGTAAAAGAGAGGTCATTCAAGAGCATATTGATTTTCCCAATGGATTTTGCCGTCTCTGTGTGAAACCAGACTTGACAAGCTGTGAAGACATAAAAACGAGACATGAGTTTACAGCTGCTGTCACACACTGCCATCACTCCCTGCAAGAAAACACAAAGTTCTATTAAGGTTGCTATGAGAAAATGAAGGAACTTCCCCTTTAATTTCTCAAGGCCATTTTTGCTAATTCTTCACTCCATGTTGTGATAAGTACCGTAAATAGCCACCAGCTACCCAATTATGACTAAGAAAGTAAATCTGACAACAGGGAATACACATTATTGCTAAGAAAATGTATTTGAATCATCTGTAGCTGTGTGCGCTCCACAGAAAAACCTATACGATAACCACTGTTACAAATAATGCAGGCACTTTTACTTTTCTTAGCCTTACTGGACATCATTAAAAAAACAGCTCTGACTGTGCATTGACAACTTTAGGATCCTGTGAAAAAAAAGAAGAAAATAGGGTGATAACCTGGTGTTTGAAAACAGGCTTTTACTCACAACATTGATTGCTCGCACATGGTTTGGAAAAATTGACAAAAGGTAAAAATCCAATACTGATGAGACCACAAACGTTCTTTTCACTATAGCTATGAAAATTAACATTTCCCTTGTAAATTAAATAAACAACTGACACTGACTGGCCAGCTTCCAATTACAGACTTTACAGACTCATGGCCTGTTATGAACAACATTTAGCGTATTAAAGGTTATACAAAAATTCACTTGCAAGTAGATGCCGCACTAGAGCACCAGCATCTCAGACCAAAACAACAGGAAAGAAATAAAATAAAACTCATCAAAACAGAGGAAATTAACCTAATGCAATTTTTCTTCTTACTGCAGTGCACCAAAAGAGTACATCATATTATAAATGGAAATAGCTGTTTTCCATTTAAATACGAACTTGTTGTAAATTTATTATGTCATAGTAGATCTGCATCCACATACTACATACTTTTGAGGGTGCACAAGGGAGTTACAATTCATATTGCACAGATTTTTAGGAAGCCTGTCATAGTATAAAGACTTCCATATACATTAAATCTAAGTTTAAAAAACACAACACAAAATAAGCCACTGCCACAAATCTTTGCATGTAAACTATTAATTAGAAGTTTATCGATATTTCATAACACCTCTAATGCTAATCAATTTGTTACCACTTTAGACATTTCCATTCACCGCTTTTTTACATTCGTGACTGCTGGTGTTACTAGTGTAAAGCTTAGGGTTGAAAAATTTTTGAGAAGCATTTTTTTTTCTACATCTACTGCCCTCTACTTCCTATCTTATGATTTGAGATGTCACAGAGTCTTTCCTCTCAGCGGGAGAGTTGTTTCCTCCACTCTGTCTTAAAGGCTGTGCTCCTCCAACATCACTCCTCCTCTGATCTGTGATCAGATTGTGTCGACTTTGCTCTCCCCTCTTATCCTCTGCGTTTGTAAGTGTTGTAGTGTGTGGGTGTGTTTGTGATGTTGTTTTTATTGTGCATTTGGGAGCTGCCGTGTTTATGGGTGCCTGTTTTCATTGACAGTGTATTTTATATAAGTGTGTCACTAATGTGGGAGATAAGGTATGTGCAAAAGATTGTGTGTGTGCTTCTGAAAGTGTTTTTGTATGCATGTGTATTGTATGAATAAATAAATCTATAAGCGTGTGTCTATAGATAAAAACATATAAATTTAAATACAGATACCTGAATCTAGTGCGAATATGAGAAATAAAGGCTTAAAAGAGGAAGGAGGAGTAGGAAAGATATTTTTTGGGATGCCACAGGCAAAATGGTTCCCCTACATTACAGAAAAGAGTGAAATTATGTAAATTACATTGGCATTGTTAGTATTTGCCGCGCTCATCACCTCATTTTGGGCTATTGAAAATATATTATATTTAAAATGTCTTATTTTCCATTCCTTATCACTTCTACAGCTGCTTATAGGGTTTGAGAGCGGGACAATCGTACAATGGGACCTACGGGGCAAGAAGGCTGACTTCAGAATGCACTACGATGAGGTAAGCTCCACTGTGAACTCCTGCATCAAGAAACTTTACAGCTTAAGCGAAAATGCTGTCAGGTGAAACATTTTTGTTTCTAAACAGGTCTACCCTTGAAATTTTTCCGTGGCTTTCACTGTTTCTTGGGTCATAATATTCATAAAGATTCTGTTCAAATTTAGCTATCTCTGTGGGGATCCCTTATTATCGCAGCGGGAATCAGGATATTAGAATGTGATGAAATTGAGAGTAGTGGAGAAATTACAACAGAAATGAGTCATGTTCACACAGAGGGGTACATGATTACAGTTGGTGAATATGTACTCTTGACACCCAAATCCTGTTCCAAAAAAAAATATAAAGACTTACTTAATGTCTTTCTTTGCAATTTTCAGGTAACTATGAGAGCCACATTTTTAGAAACTACGCAACTTTGTAGCCTGGGCGCCTGTAATGATTACAAAAATTATCCTACACAAGTGTTAGACTCTGATTCAGGTATTCAGTCATTAACAAAGTATAATCTTAAGCAGATATCTTCAAGACAACTGAGATTCAGTTATGATAAAAGCAAGTCTTAAATCAGTTTAAATAGAAAAGGAAAAAGGCATAAGGAATAAGGTCTTACATGAATGAATACTGGGGCCTTGACAGCCTGTCTGACGATTTCATCTTCCTCCCATTGTTAATCCTATTCAGTGACAGAAATTAGCAGTTTGTCTGCCAATATTTTGAACCTCAACAAAATGGAGGGTCATTTTTATGTTTGAATACCATGAACTTTTTTTTCTATTTTCAACAAAGTGTCTTTCTTATCAAGTGCTTGTATTTGCCTGCCAACCAATTACTGCTTTTTGAACAAGAAGCAGTAATTGGATGACCCAGGCATGCTCACAACTCGCACAGCACTGTCAGCTCAAACAGGTGCAGACTACAGTGTTTGTTGCAATTTCAGCCACTTAGCAGTGGAGAGTATTCTTGTTGTTTAAAGTGTTCTGTTTTTATTTTTAACTAAAAATAGAGTGCCATTATTTGCTGATCCACTATATAATAGTAAAATAATTTGTAACATGTAGTGCAACTCTTTCATAGCGTCCTGTTTTTTTAGCACTTCAGAGTGGTAAGAAGGAGGTGCATTACCTGCATACAGACATAACTAAAACAGTTATTTTCTACAGAGTAGTCTCAAAATGGTCAAATTTACACAGGTACAGTATATCTTTTGGACGTTTGGACATTCAGGGTCAGTTTGAGGATTTCCGAAGCATGCACACACACACACACACACACAGGCGAAAAAACACTCTCAAACACACACAGCATCCTCATTTAATCTGATTGGTTGTGGGTTTTTTTTTAACTCCTGTGGCCTCAAACCCAATTTGCCCTGTGGACATTGTCACCCCGTGGCACTGATCCTCTTCATCCGCTGCCATCGCTCATCTCCTGTGAAGAGTCACATCCTGCTAACATTCATTAATGGGGTTTCATGTGCATCACCTCCAGCATAGCATGGCATCTCTGTCTCACACCTCTTCAGCCGAGTACAAAAACGAACCAGCACCAGTCAGATCTCACAATAACACAAGGGTGGAAGTACTGAGTTCCTGTCACTCTTACTGGTCTAATTGGAAAACTTTATACTTTATAACTTGTTGTTAATTCACAAGTTACATTTTCTATTTAGCATCCCTTATGTAAGCACTGTGTCAAATCCACACATATGTGCTAGCAGTTGTAGTAGCTTCAGGCAACCTATGACCTTTTTAAGTCAAGTCAAATTTGATTTATATCCCTAAATTGCAAATCACAGTTTGCCTCAGGGGGCTTTACAGTCTGTACAACGTTCAACACCCACTGTCCTTAGACCCTTGATTCAGTACAAGAAAACCTTTTAGCAGGTAAAAATAGAGCCACAATGCATCCAGGAGGACATTGAAATAACTTCAGACGTCGACTCTCCACCATGGAGAGAATTAATCAGCAAAAATTCAACATTCCATGTTTTGATAACCTCTGTGCCTTTGTATGATGTGAATGATGAGCTCCTTAAGAGTAAACAAGATACACGTATGTACAAGGTATATTAAAATTGTGATTATCTAAAGTGAGGGCAAGAATTACACTATTATGGTGTTTAAGATAACTTTGACCAAATGGAAGCTGAAGCAAGTTTAGTTGGTTTTGTGCATAAGAATATTTAAAAATATTTATATTTAAAATTTATTTTGTTACTGTATTTGGAAAAAAGCATCAATTACAAACCACACTGAAATACTTACAAAAAAAAAAGCTGTTTGTTCTTTGCTAATGCATTTCTGAAGGATCATTTTTGACATGTTAATCACATGTTTGTAAAAAAAAATCCATTCCCGCTGTTTCATTGGTGCAGGCCATACATTCAGTCAGCTGGCATCATGAAGGGAAGCAGTTCATGTGCAGTCACTCAGACGGCAGCCTGACGATGTGGAACCTCAGAAACACCACCAGGCCATTCCAGGTCACCTTTCCTCATGGTGAGACGTACACCCACACAGCATACTTATTTATTTTAATGACTAAACAAAATGAAACTTTGCTAATCCCTTGCTGGGAAACCGGGTCCACAGGCTGTTACTTAATACAGCAGAGAGAAATAGAGCATACTCCATACTGATTTATTTATGTATTGTGGAATTAACTCCTATGGTTGCCGATGGATGGAGTTTTAAACAGTTACAAGACACTGTAGGCAGAAAAGAACTCCAGCTTCATGTTTTTTTTAGTTCAGAGTTGCAGAATTGCAAATGTTTGTGTTTGATTTGAGAATATTAGTCTAGGATTTTTGGCTGTCATCTGAGAATACTTTAACACAGGTTTGACTGAATGACTTCCAAGCCACATGTCATTCTATTTACTCTTCCTCTGACTAGTCCTCCTTCTGTTGCTCTCTGGTGTGGTTTGTGTGCTGGCAGGGCATCCTGACCTTGTCAGATCTCTGGTCATGAATAGTCCCCTTGCTATGAGCTGTAATCTCAGGCAAAATCACAACACAGAAAAGCAAGAGGGGAGGACGGGGGCAGAAAATGCTAGGGACAGGGCAACAGGCCTTAGGAAGTGGTTAAATACCACTGATTGTTTATGTGCCAGATATTTGTCAGATATTTGCTATAACGCAGGGCGAGAGTGAAGGTGAGGGGAAGGAAGAGGACAGCTGATAATACAAAGAGGTGAAGTAAAAACTATAAGTAGAAGAGTAAACATGTTATGCCTTGGGAATGAAACAGTCACCCTCTGTTCTAGGTAGTAAATAAATCTTATTCTGTCCCAAAATAGATACATAAACTGATCCTAACAGGACACAAAGTCAATCATCACACCACCACAACGTATATCACGTCTGTGGTCTGTGATTTCCCATTCTTTTTAAATCCCTTGGTGCTTACATTCACTTTATATCGCTCCGTTGGCTTTGCTTACTGCTTGGCTTGCTGGATACCTCTGTCACTAGTTGTGCTATTTGTTGTGCTCAGATGTCACACTGTGAGCTAGAGGATAACTGGAGGCCTGCTGTCCACCTCAGTCTGAACCTGCTGCAGGAGCTCTCCACTGACAACATTGAATTATGTATTTTATTCTCTATGCCCTGTTGTTGTTGGAGAGAGCATCCCAGGAGTACAGTCAAGTCCAATTTACGGAACTGTGCCTATGCTATGTGACATGAATGTACCTAATGGAAACGAAAAATTCTTCACCAGAAAGAAATCCAGATTGGTTAAATATCCGGTATGGCAGCAATGTTGTTATCACAGGCAAACGTATAGTGTATTTATAGTACTTAAGTTTAAACATGCACTTGTTGGGTTGGTATTGGAACGCAGCGGTCATTGTGTCTGGGAGAAAAGTGAACAAACAGTTTGAGCTGCACTAATGAATGTATAACCAGAAGAGAACAAGGGAGGAAGGAAAGCAATGGCTACAAGGACACAGAAGGTGGAGAGAGCAGAAAAGGGAACAGACACATTTATTTTAAGCAGAGAAGTGAACCGAAACACGAAAACACAGGATAACAACAATAAAACACTGTAAGTGAGCTAGTCATCCTGTCTCACAGTTAGACCATGAACAGATAGCATAGTAAAAGAAGTATGCACGGACATATATCAATAAATGCCTGGACCATGTTATGTATAAGGGTAAGTCTTAACACAGCTGTGGGTTTGACCAGTATCAAAGCCATTACCAAGAGGGTTGTCTGTTTACTATTATTTTTTCTGCTATTCCCTTTCCCTTTTCTCTGTCGGGTCCTGCTTTGACATTTCAGTGTTTGCTGTAATCCTGTACCTTTGAGCCTGTTCAGTGATGATAAGTCACCGTTACCCGGAGCTTTGGCTATCTAACAGAGATTGTGGATAAGAAGCGATGTGTCAACAACTTAAAACCACCTGAAATCACATGTACACAAAGTATACAGCGATCTGCCATAAGATTATGACCACTGACAAGTGAAGTGAATAACACTGATTATCTAGTTATCATGGTGCTTGTCAGTGGGTGTGATATATGAGGCAGCAAGTGAACATTTTGTCCTCAAAGTTGATGTGTTAGAAGCAAAAAATGGGCAGCTTGAGGATTTCTTTTTTGAAATACAATGCCTTAAAGATTGTTTTTAAAAATGGCAAAACCTTTACATTACACATATCTGCAAACATGTCACTGCTCTAAAAATGCATTCTTAATATGAGTATAAAATGTTCACTGTTTTTTCATTTTTTTTGTTTTCTCTCCCAGTATACATTCCCTGCAACTAGAGCATGATTACTCTGTCTACAAAGCTGCGTTAAATCACCAGATTGGGGATCCTGACTTAATTCATATTTAACCAAAACCATCATCTTTCTCCAGGCTCAACCAAATATTTTGGCAGGCCACTATTTTAAATTGCTGTAGTCTATTTTGTAAATGCAGGAGCAAAGTCTCACAGCTTAGAAATTATATTTCTTTCATGTTTTTTTTTGTTGTTTTTTTCATTTGTTCAGAACACAATGTCCATGACCAGAAACACAGGGTCCCTCTGCCTTCCAGCTAAGAATTTATAAAACATGCTTGAAATAACATGTGCTTATGATTTGGTAAATTGAATTTTCAGAGGAACTGATGCAGACAGATGTTTACAGTGAATGCATTATTGTCTTGAAATGTTGTTCATTCTTGCTATTTCGTCTAATTCAGGAAAGGTACAGAAGGATGGGAGAAAGGAGTCTTGTAAACCAATACTCAAAGTGGAGTACAAGACCTCGAGGAGCAGGTGTGTGCTTCATAAGGAAATGTTCAGGTCTAGATTACCAGATTTTATTATGTCTTAAGTTTCTTGACTAAATTATGATTTTAATAAAAGTCATGGAGAGATTTTCATGTAGTGAATTAACAGGTTGATTATGACACCCCATAATCATTATTTTTAATCATAAACTTTATGTATTCATTCATTCTGTCATTTATTTCATTCATGTGGCTGATCAGTTTCAACTACTAACATTTATCCAGATCAAGTCTTCCTAAGATCCTGTTCTCCCTCCACAGCGAGCCTTTTATCATCTTCTCTGGCGGTCTTTCATATGACAAGGCGGGAAGGCGGCCCACGTTAACCATCATGCATGGCAAGGCTATCACTGTGCTGGAGATGGACTACCCTATTGTAGAGTTTATGGCACTCTGTGAGACTCCTTACAACAACGGTGAGAGTGCATACAAAGACAGTGACAAAACTGGTGCTGCATATTTTCTGCATTCAGCCTAAGTTTTTTTTATGTTTTTAAAAGCCATGCAGAAAGATTTGGATTTGTTTTTGTCCAAATTTGAGATACCTTCCTAAAGTATTAAAAACGTATATATTAAAATAATAAATACAAGAACCAAAATACAAAAAAGTCACCAATCAACAGGCAAGAAGGAAGATAAGTTAGCCCTAGTAATACACCACCTCCTTAGAAAAGTCAAACCCACCAGGTTGGATGACAACACTGTTGAGGTTTGATTGAAGGTTTGGTAAATGTCTACAAAACACCAGTTTCGTCAAACATCCTGTGGTATTCAAATCTATCTGGTTTTACATCAATGTAATCAACAATACAACACTTGGATGCCATAAAGATGGCAGTACATAATTGAAATACTAAAACCACTACAGAAAGTCTATATATATGTGTGGCTGTAACTAATGAAAATATGGATTAAGCATTATCCTGTTCAGTATGGCTTTGTATCTTACAGAGGTCCAGGAGCCTTACGCAGTGGTGGTGCTTTTGGAGAAGGACTTGATCGTGGTGGATCTGACACAGAGCAAGTATGTCTGACACAGAGCAAGTATGTCTTATACTGTATAAATACACCTTCGAGCTGCTAAGCTGCATGTGACTGATAGTAAATGAAGCGAGTTCCATCTTCATGTCAACGTTTGACATGAGTTGCTATTACCTGGCGTGACTTAAGGGGAAAACACTACTTATACCATTCATCCATAAGCCAAATCCTGTCCCTGTCAGTAACACCTGACCTAACCAGTGTCACTTGAATCTATACTTCAGGGAGAAAGAGAGGTTATGTGTTATCCTTTGAATAAGACATCTCATTTTGCTCTCAGGGTGAAAATGCTACCACTCCAGTTAAATTACCTTGTGTTAACCTAGTTAATTAGGTTACCTAATTTAAGATATTATAAATACCTCTTGATGAGTCTTAATGTAGTTTTAACTTCCCCAGATTCTCTGTGACAATGTCAGCCCATTGATTAGCTCCTACTTGTGTTTAAATTGTTTATTATAATTAAATAAATGGCCTGCACCCATATACCCTTTATAGCCGATACAGGGCATGTATTCTCATACACTTATGTTCATAAAGTTTACTGATCTGCTGCAGTAGCACCACCTGTACATCTTGCCACCATATTTTCAGGCAGGCACATAGCGGTGCCATTTTTACCTCACCTGCAATCTGATTATTTATGCAATAATGCCAGTACAGCAGAGTATAGATGGAAAAAGGGGATTTTGCAGATTATTACACATTTTAGTAATGATAATCTTGTAATTCATTGACTTTTGCTTCTGCCCATTTCACCACAGTGCTATAAATTACACTGTAGCTTATTATATGCATGTATCTTGCAGCTTCCCTGTCTTTGAGAACCCTTACCCCATGGACATCCATGAGTCTCCAGTTACCTGCACAGCCTATTTTGCAGAGTGTCCGCCAGACATTATCCCCATCCTGTACTCTATAGGAGCTAAACACAAGAAGACTGGCTACAGCCAAAAGGTAGGATAGGGGAATGTGAGTGAGGAATACCCTCCTTTTATAATGTATTTGTCTTCTTTTTTTGCCAGTTCCAGTCTTGTTTGGTAATTAATTCTACTGAGAGCAAGGTTTTAAGAAATGTAATCTTGGATAATGATGCCAAATATATTTGTTTCTGTTCTTGCAAGGTTACCACCTGTAATGTGAATGATCTTCAGAATTTATGAAAAAAAAACAACCATACAAAATTCCTGCTGCCATGAACTCGTAGCAAATTATGGGTTAACATTAAAAAAATTGTAATTTTAATCTGTGCCATTTCATATTTGAGGATGAAAAGATTTGTTTTCGGAATAAAATGAAATATTACCAACAGAGCCCAGTGGGGGAAAAACACAAAATTATGTGATTGGGTTTTCAAAAATAATCAACATGTCTTTTACCATGTCAGGAGTGGCCAATCAGTGGAGGAACATGGACGTTAGGCTCCCACACCTACCCAGAGATTATCATCACCGGGTAAGTCCGAAATATGACAGCAGTATTTTGAAGAAAGACCTTCTGAGCTCAAACACATGGTGACCTTTATCCCAGGCTGAAAAATGTGCTAACACCCACACACAAAAAAGGAAATCTATGCGTGTCCTCACTCACGACATGACAGGACCAGATGACTGTGATTTATAGTTTGTCTTTATATGTGCTTTACAAGTTTGATTTGGGTCTGTGCCAACCCAGGCCAGCACAGCACAGCCTAGGGCCATGCTGCATTGTAAGGGGCTGACAGAGATGTTAACCTGTTCTGAAGCCTGCATACGGGGTGGTGTCTGCTTCTAGGCGACACTCAATATCAGCAGCAGTCTAGAAATGAGGCCAACATGGAGTTATGTTCTCAATAGTACACCTACAAATGAATAAATGCTTGGCTTGTGGTATTTTTTATTGCCCCAGAGACTAGGAATTCAACTTCACTTTCAGCTATGAGAAAACAATAAGGAACAGTCAGCTGATGATTCTTACACAATGTGACATTTAAAATCAATGATCATCACTGTCAAATTTTTAAGCTAGCTGTAACATTTATTACAGTTGGGAATTTCTATCTAGATGCCACTAAATCCTACACACTGATCTTTTAAGAGCACTCCTTACATGCAAAAAAAATATTCTTTCTCTTTGTCAGACATGCTGATGGATCAATCAAGTTTTGGGACGCGTCTGCAAGTAAGTCCACTCTCTTAAGTTTTGTTGTTCAACTCAGACAGCATGCTCATATAAACACTATATTTTCATAAATTCCATGGTGAGCAATTTAAAATTTGCCATAGGCACTGAACTCAAAGAAAATGAATAGCACCACTGTCAAACGAAGGGTCACATTGGGTACACATTGAAAACCTAGCATGTACAGTAGATTTAGAGGCTTTCTCAAAAATATTTTGAAAGAAATTGTACTGACAGCTGTGGTTTGTGGATGACATTTACTTGCATTGCATCATGTCAGCCTGACAGACCCTCAGAGTTCAAACTAACAATATCAGTCAGTCAGTAAAGCTACTGTATCTTGGTATGCTAGTAAGCTAGTATGCTGTCTCTCTGTGATAATATTAACTGTGCACAAACAATGAGTGTATATTTTTTCCAAAAGCCTTAGCTGTGTAATAGAGTGAATTGCAATACAAATCAGAGGGCTGTGGTGATAATTACTAATCACTTGCCTCCTTTTTTACAGCTACACTAATCAAAGTTGTGCATTCACAAAAGAATATAAACTGAATCCAAAGGCAGATGGTGGGGCTTTTAAAGAATAAACCTGCTTTTATTTGATCTTTTTATTAATATCATAAAAAAAATCTTATATAAAGACCAAAACCAACAGTGAATTTATGAGTTTTTGTTGCCTGATAAAGCCTATCCATCCAAAGACACTACTGTTCCACAATGTCAGCTGTTCACTTTTGTGTATGTGTTACCATTTACAGTACATTTTACATTTACAATATGTTCACTAAAGTAACCAATTCTCAAACCAGTCACACTGCAGATGTTGTACAAGCTGAAGACCTCCAAAGTGTTTGAGAAGCCGAAACCAGGTGAAGGCCGGGCGGCCGAGTTGGTGGAGGAAGACCCCTTTGCAATTCAAATGGTCAGCTGGTGCCCTCAGAGTCGCATCTTCTGTGTAGTTGGCATCTCAGCCCACATCATCCTGTATCGCTTCAGCAAATATGATGCCAACACTCAAATTGTGGTGAGTGAGACTAGAATCAAAATACAAGCAGTGACATCCTAGGGATTTTGTGCGTTATAAGGATTGCAAGTAAGGTACAATGTAATTCTTACAAACAGTTACTGACTGTTACTTCAGAAATATGTTATTCAGTGATCCTTGTGTTATTTATTTATTAAAATCTAGTAAATTCTGCTTATACTTTGATCACAGCTCATTATGAGGAACATGCTACACTAATTCACTGGATGTAGTTCACTGTAGTAGTCCCATTGTTATTATTATGATAGGTAGATTAATGCCTACTTTTGTATCTGTGTCATCCTCAGTCACTGGAGGTGCGTCTACAGTGTGAGTCAGAAGATGTCATCTCTCCATCCGAGAATGAAAACAATCCCTGCTTCTCAGAGTCTGGCTCCCACTCACCCCAGCCCCATCACCAACACCCAGCTAGCCCCGGCGCTGGGACACCTGAGGGTGTCAAAGACAGCATCCCCTGCATTAAGTAAGATCTCCTCTCAGTTTATCTGCGAGAAAAACATCAAATATCTGTTTGAACAAATCATTTAGTCTTTTGTTTATCAAAATGTTGTATCAGATAGACTACAAACTAACTTAGAACAAGAAAAAAAATAACCCAACTGTGTGATGAAATGATTTATTATTCATTGTGATAAATGATAGAAGATCCAGCTCACAGTAATATGAACACTGGCCATATTTTATTTTTTTGTTGCATGTGACTTAAATTGTGGATCAACATATCAACACACTCAACAAATCTAAACTGACAACACCTTAATGTTTGCACTATAATGTCCTTTCTAATGCAGCAGTTTGTATTGATTATTGTTTTTAAATTTTTTAGATATTTTTCTATCTCTGCTTATTCTCTGTATCTCAACATCATTATAAATAAGGGAAACCTCAGTGATTCTCGAGACTTAAGTAAATTGAATTTGGATTTTGAATGTAACATGTCAGTGGATGAGGGTATATAAAAACAGGTAACCCTCTATGGTGCCATCAAGTATTTATTGACTAAAAGTAAGTGCTGTGATTAGCCAGTTAAAGCCCATAAAGATGGCAGGATCCATCATTTTGCATCCTAACCTTATGGCAGATGGCATTTCCATCCATACCAACTATTTAGTTAACTTAATTACACTTTTACACTGAATGTTGAATGATGGAAGCAAACATGTTTGTGTGTTTCTTTCTCGCCAAGTACAAGTGCATATTACACAATACTCAAAACTCCTCTTTATATGTGCTTCAGAGTGAAGGACCGGATGGTTCGGGTCCCTCCTGGCTACCAGGCAGAACTGGTCATCCAGCTGCTGTGGGTAGATGGAGAACCTCCACAACAGATCACCAGCCTCGACATCAACTCTGCCTATGGCCTGTAAGTTTCCAGATGCATGGTAGTCAGTTACCTGTCTATATGTGGGAGTATTTATTTATCCTTCTAGGTTAGGTAGGAATATGGACAAGGATATACTTAGGACAGCAATCACTGTTTTAGTTTAGAGGAGTTTGCACAAATTGATTACGGACAAAGCCGAACGCCCTCTCTGATCATTGTCATGGTGCTATGTTACCTTAAACTGAACAAGATTGTTCAGCTTTATAGTGCTGAGATTACACCTTAATGGACAGCCGGTTGACATCATAGTTTTAACCTAACTAAGCACCACATAGTTCTGCTTATTCAAGTTGCAATGGAATAATTGCATGCACAGTGGTTAAAACTTAAAGCTCCAGAAACAATCTAACACACTGACTCTAAAGAGCTGCCCATCTGTCTTTCCCTTGTCTCTCCATTTATATGTTATGTTGATTTTTCTGGAGTATTATAAATATACTTCAAACTAGCTGTAAAAGGTTGAAATACTACAGTGGTTCCAAACCAATAAAAAGAAGTTAACAGCCCCAGGCAGATATTTATAGAAGCATGTTTAGCAATAGCTAAGCAAGTGATAATCCACAACAACCTGTTCTGATATATAAAAAGATGGACAAGGTAGGTGTGAAATATTAAGTTTGTAGTACATTTAATCCTGATTGATAGGGTAAGTATTGTTGCTATCATTGCCTGCAGTTAACAGTAATTAAATGGTTTCCTCTAACTAGGTTTGTAGTGTCCTGACATACACATGCCAATCAGAAAAAGAAACACATTGAGTAAAGGTCGGGGTCGTGGCAAGTGAATAGCAATCATAAGCAGTAGTAGCAACAAGATACCTGGGGATGAAAGGTTAAAGAGGCCAGTCTGTAATGTAAGCTCGTGTGTAAGTGTGTTATTGTGCACGTACAGACAGCGGTACACACACCCACTAGGTTATGTTTGTGTTTATGTATTTATAAATAATAGTGAAGGCTTATGAAAAGTGAGGGCTTGGATATTTGGGATGTAGGGCGGGGACTACAGAATGCCCTGTTCAGCACCTTACTTATTACAGTATTATGCTGTCAAAATCAAAATTGGTGTGTTCACACAAGCACAACAACCCACAGCTTTCATCTACAGTGTGCAGGCCTGCAGTCAGAACTCACCACATTCAATTTCAAGATAGTATACTGGACCCTGGAGTCTGTACCAAGCAACTAGTGGAAATGTCATAATTTGTATCTGTCTTCTGTTGTCTCCCTTCTGTGTTTTTCTTTCTTTCGTTTTAGATAGATTAGATTTTCACTGATGTTGACTTAAGTAATGGTTGACATTTTCTATAGATTTCAGTTTTCAGAATTCAAAACTTATTAAAACCCCGTTGTGTTGGTGCTTAAGAGAAGTTGACTGACTTCCTGAGCCCCAGAGTGCTTAAAGACCACTTGCATGGTTTTGCTGTGAATAGAAGTTCTGTTGGCAGAAACCAATAAAATCACAGCTCTTTTTAAAAAGCTCTTTATGGGTCAAGGCAGAGCCATCATTTCCTTTTCTCCGTTAAATCTATTCACAGCATGAATAGAATTGCAGAAATCGATTTATTTTGTTTTATTCTTTTTTGCTTCCTCCCTCCCTGCTTATGAAAACACACACACCCACATTTAGACTCAAACACAAGGAAAATGAAAGACTTATATGTATCACACACACACACACACACACACACAAACACACACACTAATGATTATTGGTGCAAGCAGAATATAATATTTGTACATCACTGACATCTGTTAAAGTGGTGACAGTGCAAATGATATAAGAGACAAAAGAAGCATTACATTACAACACAGTAATGAACAGCAACATAAAAACACATTAAATGGACCTGTACTTGTATAGCGCCTTTCTAGTCTTCCGACCACTCAAAGCGCTTTTACACACATTCACACAGTGACAGCAAAGCCCATTCAACAGAAACTAACTCATTCATGCACGTTAATACACTGACGACACAGCATCGGGAGCAATATGGGGTTCAGTATCTTGATCAAGGATACTTCGACATGCGGCAGGGAGGAGCCGGGTCGGACCAATAACCGACCCGCTCTCCCTCTGAGCCACAGCCACTCCACATTACACAAAGACTCTCAAGAAGAATTTCAACCGCAATAAATCCCTTCCACATTAATGTCTTTAAACATTACTAAAGTCTCCACAAATACACAAGGCTGTCTCCTTTCTTCGCTAATCTTCATGGTATGAATGGTATGTCTGTACCAAAGGACAGGTTCACTGCTCTGATCTCGAGTCTCGAAATGTCAGCATGCTTGAATGTAGCATCTATAAATGTATGTCAAATGACTGAAGGTAACAATTCCATTTACATTCGACTTGATTGAATTCCTTTTGTGCTCTTAGAAATTGTGAGATAAAAGAAGATGATTGTTTAAAGTTGCTATTATCCTCTTTATGGCCACAATAACACAGATGACTATTTTCTTTACCACCTTTTTTCTCTAGCTGTCGAGCCTTCAGCTTTGATCTATGAAAGCTGTGATTTCCTGGTAATAATTGTTTTGCTGTTAGCGTTGTGAGGCTCAAGCTGTGTACTGAAAGGCTGGACAAGGAAAGGGTTTTGCCCCCTGCTGCCATTTGCACTTGTTGGTTTTCTAGTTTTTTCTGAGTGATGTGTTTTCAAATGCGTGATCATGTTTGTGGTATTGAAATTGTTGTTTACATAGAGTAGATGACAAACAGCCCTTCCAAACACCCAATAAAATTTTCCAAATTAGAGACAGCGCTGTGGTTGCTGCTGTCATGACCTGAAACATCTGACCATGTGACAGTGATGTAAACTAGGCCAGTCATCTGATGGATATGGGAGAGCAATGACGGGCTGGGCAGCAGGGAGTTTGAGTGACATTTATGTATTTGTCTCATTATTTTGTCATTTCTTTCGGATCGCCAAATTAAAAGACCACGATAGAGTCATTTGTTGTGAATATAGTCTAATTCTGGTTAGTGCCTGATCAGCTGGAACATCTTTTGTACAAAGACAAACAGAAAAATTACTGCCAAGAAGGTTCTCTTAATCAGTTAAGCCAGAGGCTCGAAAGCAGCCAGGGGTAGCAGGTGGCAATGGGGCTTATGGGAAATCATGGTTATTAATATTCAAAAACAGCAGCAATAGCAGTGTGAGATAAAGACAGGCTTTTGTTGACAGCAATTATACCAAAATGTCACCGTTAATTTGACAGTGTTTGATAGTGCCACATGTAGCACCTTTAATGTCAGTGAGAATAACCTGGTGAAATAAATCAGCGTAAATGTCTCAGCTGAATAACGCTCTTTCTCCTCCATGTAAATGCAAATGTCTTTGTGTGTGTGTGTGTCCAGTTTGGCGTTTGGGAACTGCAATGGCCTAGCCGTGGTGGACTACTTGCAGAAAACCATCCTGTTGTGTATGTCGACACTGGATCTGTATGGAGCCGCCGACCCCTACCAGCGCCTTACCCGCTCCCCCCGCAGGAACAGACAGTCCACCTCAGGTAGCACACACACACACACACACACACACACACACACGTCTTGGACTCTGCTACAAAAAACATGCACGTACACAACTAACAACAGCCGTACAATAAGGTGTCAATTATTGTCATTACATCCAAACTATCATCTATTTGCTGTATTCCTGTCCTCTTTCTCCCTCTATCCCTTCTTCTTCTTCTTCTTATTCTTGTTCTACTTCTGTCTCCTGTATCTGTTCTTTCTAAGGTTAGACTGATCTATCTGTCAAATCTGATCTATCTTATATAGGTAATCTGCATCAATGATGCACATGGTTTAATTATATTGCCTGTATATTTAATTCCACACTATTCTTACTTATTCTTACTATTATCCCATTTTCACTGGTGGAAGGAAACTTAGTACCTTTGCTCAAATAATAGTACTTACTGTAGGGACATATATACATTTACACAAGGTACTTATTAAATTATAATCTAAAACTATTACTGTTCAACAACATTTTATATGGCAGTTAAAGTTGGCTTCCACCAGCTCCACACCAGTTTCTATTACAAATCCAATAATATAACTCTGAAAGGGGCCATTTGTCTGATAATACAGTACTTGCTAATTAATATTGAAAACATGTATGGCATTTACTTGCAGTGGATTACTATTATTATTATATGGCTTTTACTTACATAGAGGATCAGAATTTAGCTAACACCACTAGTTGTAGTGTACAAAATATATAGTTATTTTACACTGTAAAAGGGGCTATTTTGCATAACAAGTATGTTTATTTTTGATACTAAAGTAAACAGAGGTAGAACTTCAGTTATTTTACTTAAGTGTAAGCTTGGATGCAAGATTTGTAAAAAAATAAATAAAAGTATCTTTACTCTCCAGTATTACTACTTCTATGTAGGTAAAGAACGTGTAAACCTCCACAACTGCCTATGTTACACTGTTAATGTCAAATTGTCTAACAGCTGTATGAGAGGTTTTTTTCCCCTGGTAGAAATTACCTGTAAACAATTATCTGTAAACACAAAACATATCTAAATATTCTGAGCATGTTGACATGGAAATTGTCAGATCTAGAGATATTAATATTAGAGATAAAATCTAAATATAGGTATCAATATCAGTGTTTAAAAACTGTATCAGTCCACCCTTATTTCTCTCCTCTCTTTGTTCGTTTTCTCTCTCACAATAACATACAAAGACAAAAACACCCGTCCATCTCAATATGCCTGTCACAGATCTGCACTATGATATGAAGTGCATGTTAACAGGCTGCGTGTCATTCCACTTTGGCATTATTATGCATGTTGTCGTTTGATTTCTCCGTCCTTTCTGTTTTTAGTCCTGCTTGAGCATAGAGCTGTAGTGAAAAGCCACAGAGGTCTCATTGTACTTCCTGACCCCTGCCTCTCTTTTCTCTGCTACTGATGGTCTCTGAAGCCTCTAATTTATACTTACCCACTGTAAATTATATTCAGCCCAACTGTACAGCAATAATTGCCTAAAACACAAGCCACGCTTGTATTATTTCACCCTACACCAACCTCTGGATTTGAGGGCATAGCAGCTCCAGTGGTTTAATATTTCAAATGTCTATGGTCCTTTAGGCAATATAAAGTACTGAGCTTTCTTATTACATAATTCCCACAAGTCTAGCTGCAAATGCTTTACCTGTATTCAAGATTTGTGGGAAGGAAAATATCAAGGTAGGTGGAGGGATGACTTTGGGCTTTAGCTTTTTTTTTACTCACTGGCGCATAAGTGCTTTTATTGACTACGACAGCACTTTTTGTTCCCAACTTCCTCCTCTGTAAAAGTCTAACTGTGTTGGGTCTTTAAAATCAATTTTGAGACGGACGGAAGAATAAAAATAGGAAACTATGCCCTTTCTCCGTACCCCAGGTGGTGGTAGTATTATGATCTTGAACACTTGCTATGCTGGAGTTAATATAATACAGAGGAAAAAACCTGTTAAAAGGCCAAGCAAAATACACGGCAAATTTTTTAACCTGCTGGCCTCTTCTCTTTTTTTAGTTTTCCAAATTCTTAGAACATAGTTTTATGTCCCTTCCACAACATTTATAGCTGTTGTCACCACACATATGTGTATGTGTATACTATATATGTCAAATCAGAGTTAGTATATTCATTTCATAAAATGATCCTTAATTATTGCTCATTTTAGGTGTGTTTCTCTAGTTATAGTGTGATGCATTATTGATTCCAGTCTGAACATGCTAGGACAGTAGGACTATGGCAAATAGTATGTAGTAACAAATTGCAATGTAAACCAATTATTTGAAGATATTTATTTTGATCATGCTTTGTAAGTAATGATATGCTGCCTGCTAACTTAGTTTGCGCAAATGACCAGTCGCATAAGCATTTCTGGGGTTTGCAGCAGTTGTGGGTATATCTTTCTGTCCTCCCCTGACACTAACATGGTTGCTGCTTGCTCTCACTTTCTTTTCCACACTAAGCCTGTGTGTTCTTTTCTCTCCCCCTTCCCTCCTTTTTCCTCCCCTCCGTCCTAAAATTGATTTACTAATTTCCTTTCCCATCCATCCTTCCTCACTTACTTTAACCTCACATTCGTTCCTTCCTTACCTTGTTTCTTTCTTTTACCCCCTTCCCAATCTGTCCCACCTTACTTTAACACTTCTCTCCCACCTCCCCGCCCTTTCTCATCTCTACCTAACCTGAATTTCTAACTACTCTTCTCACTCTTTATTCTGGCCCTCCATCCTTTCCAACACTCCTTCCTTCCCTCTCCTCCTCTTCCTCCTCCTCCTCCTCCTCCTCCTCCCACCTTTTGGTGACTCTGTGGCTGCTGGTGTGGGCATGTGGGCCTGCCTGACAGAGTTTTGCATGCGTGGCCTGTCTAACTTTTATTCAGATTCAAAGAAAAGGATCCGTACATCCTATCAGAGTAAGTCGAGCCTTCCTAAAGGCTGGGGGACTGTGTTTGTGTGCGGGGGGTTGGGGGGTTGGAGGATTGGGTTAGTGTTTTGGTGGAACTCACTAGGATAGCAGGGTTGATAGGGATGGTTGCCATAGGGACTGGAATGGGATGATGTGGATTTAAAGCAATGGGACAAATCAAAGAGATGATTGGAATAAAAGTGGTTGTTTCATATCTGCACTTTTCCATATTAAACAGAACTGCTTTATTCCAGCCATGTCTAACGGTATGTCCTTTGCAAAAAGAGAGCCACTTTTTTGAGTCAGTTAAGCAAAGGCAGTTATAAATATTATATGATCCATGTGATGTATATTTTAACTGACGCATAGTTAGTGGGGTGAATAAAGCCTTGTTCATCCACTGGGCCTAGAGAAACTAAAATGTGCACTTTTAGTTTATGATTACAAAGGAATTATTAATTTCATACTACGATAAAGGTTTAATCAGGGCCCCTTTGAATGTCTTCAATCATTTGTAAAGCCAGTGGAAATGAAAAATTTGCATTAAGAAGTTTTGCTGGGAACTTTTACTGGAGAAAAAATAATTAAATTAATCCAACATTTTTGAACTGTGACGACTCAGTGAGGCTGTTAATGAGGCCATAATGAACACAGCTTAAACACCCCGCATCTGTAGTCAGCAGACTAAAATGAACAGGAATTAGATATTTCAGCATTTGTTGTGGTTTTAAGAAGGGAGTAGGTATGACTTTTTCATTTTGGCTTGTGCTTGGTGCATGCGATCAGATGTGATTCAATCCTGATCAAGTTTGTGTTTGTACTGTTTTGTATTTTGATTGTATATACCACTTTATCACGAGACTTGCACTACAGTCTGCAGATGCATGACTATGGTCATGCTGACATTTTAATACAATCTGGTTGGAAAATATGGAAATAAAATTTTACTGAACCGATTGTAGTGCAGGTCACATCAGGTTTCAGTCACTCTAATCCTGGAAGACAAAATTAATCCTAAAATGTCAAATAATTGTAAAGACCTTGATCCCCATAAAATCACACCTTCACAAATAATTAGAATAAACTAATGGAAATTGATTATGGGGCTTATCAAAGATGATAATCCAAAGATTGCTGATAACCTGTAGTCTTTCTTGGGGCTCTGCGTGGCTGATATCATCCAAGTTGACTTCTGTGAAGTCTATATGTCTGACAAGGTGAAAACAATCTGACAGAGTATGTGTACTCTACTTTTTCTTCATCTCGGCTGCCATTGGCTGCGGCAGGCCTTACTGAACTCTCTGACAACCAGCAGTCCATTGATATGGAAAGAAGCAAGTCGCCCACCTCAGGTAACCTGCTGACACACACACAAACACACAGACACACGCACTGCCAGTGTATTGTGTGATTGGCACTGTGATGCCATTGTCTTTAAACGTGAACTATGCCTTCAGTATGCAGCCTGTGGACCCCTCACCCATCACTAGGGCATCTTCACCTTTCATTTACATTAAAAGTTTTTAAAAAAGTGCAGGAAGTGCTGAAAACCCTTTCAGTGGAAAGTTGTTGGTGAGAAAATGTAATGCAGACTACCTCTTGAGTGGACTTTCTTGTTCGTCCAGCTCTTATTTTTCCCTTAGACTATGTGGTGTGTTCTGCCCTTGTTGTGAAGCAGCAGCAGGTCATGTTTAGAGAAACAGAAATTAAAAGATTAAGAAAGCAACACTTAGGGATGGCTAAAGAGAGCAAGCCTAATCACATGTTTACAGTTTGCAGCACGGGTGTTAACCTGCTTTTGACAACGTGATAGTAACCTGCATAATTTCATAACGCCAAGGCTTAAATATCTGTCTGAGATCAGATCAGAAGAGTTCTCACAGCTAGTTAAATATTTATTTTTATCATCCATAATATATTATAAAAACCTCCTGTGCATGGCTGTCAGTTATATATGTGCTGGCATGTTAGTGTGTAGCAGTACTTGACTAGCATTAAATGCTACAGGATGTATAATGAAATAGACATGCCTCTTTAGAGGGGAGTGAAGCATATAATCTAAATGTCCTGAATGCTTGTATTAATGTTATATTTATTATATATTCATTATATTGTCGGCCGCTTCAGGTCTCAGGATCACACTTTGGAGATATAGTACAATGGTAGATATGATGGTGGGAAGTTGAGTGAAAGAGATAAGCTACAGTTTGAGAGGATCTGTGGTTCTTGATGAATATCACAGATCAGAAGATAATGTAACAGGTCCCTGGGTACAGAACAAAGGTTGGTTGCAATGGATGAAAGTTTAAACCCAAGATTGTTTGTAGTATGTTGAGGGCCGTGTGGTCTGTGTGCTAAAAAGAGAGTGTGTTTGTTACTGCAAAGAAAGAAACAGTGCATAATGGAGGGAGAGAGATGAGAACGATTTTCCAGCAAGTGCTTTTGTGTGTGTCATGGGAAAACACTTTATCTCAGCAAATTCAGAACTTAAAGGTCAAATGGAGAGAGTGTGTAAATGTTTATAGGTGTTTGTCTTCAAGGCCCTATGTGCTTTATAAGGCTCTAGTTTCCAAACAATTTATTTCAAACCGGCTTAGATTTAATGGTAATATTTCTTATATGTAACAGATGATAGATATATTAAGTACTAGTTGATAGAAAAACTTTATAATTTTCAGTTTGAATATGTATTCCCCTAAAATAAAAATAACCCCACAAACTGGTGTTGTATGTGAAGAGCCCGTTTCATTATCATAAGCCTGACACATATTGCTGTGTAATGTTTGCCTTGATGACTAATTTGTGCTTTCAGATGGTTTTCAAGGAAAAGAAGAACAATTTAACAGTGTGTTTTTGAACATCCAGAAACAGCACTCAATCTGTTAAACCTGCAGACAGAAGGAGAATTATTTGAAACTTGGAAATAAGTAGTGTAAGTTCGGGGAAAATGTGATCCTAAGTGAGAAATGGGGGATGTTTGGGAACTTCAAATATTATCTTTTTGAACTAAGCAGGGATACAGTGAAACCGTGTTTTTCTCAGAAACAATGATAGGCCACAGCTGATCTTTGTGCAATAAGACATCATTAGCTGGTGATAAATTCATCCATTTATCCCGAGGAGTATGTGAATGGTGGGGCATGAAAGTGGTGCCATTGTGTGCAAATATTCAATTAGTCTGATGTGTTTTACAGAGAATAAAAGCTTTTGGGATTTTTGGCACAACTAAGGCACTTTATATGCTTCTGAAAGAATAATTTGACAGGGTACAGGCCACCAAGGCCTCTTCTGGTTCCCGCTTCCCAGCTGGCAGTGTGCCAGAGCTTTACCCCTGTCCTTGCAGGTTGTGAGCCCATTTGGCCCTATGTTGCTCTGTTGGACTGTGCTCACGTGGGCCTCATGGGTCCAAGCCTTTGAATGACTCTTATTCTAGCCACTCACCTGGGACAATGTCCATGGGAAATCCTCCCAGTCACCCAGACACACAGAAGTCCCCAATAACCTGGCAATTCCTGCAGGCAGGGCTTTGTGAGCTCTCCCTGAGGGCCAGGCAGCTCAGGAATCCAGGAAGAGCTTGGAATAGAACCGTATCTGTTAAAGATTCCTCCTTAATGCCTCCCTGTGGAGGTGGTCTGGGTATGCCCAACTAAGAGGAGACCCTGGAGCAGACCAGAATACACAGGAGGAATTACTTATATCCCTTGTGGCCTAAGAACGCTTTACTTTAACCCAGGAAGGCCTGGAAAATGTGACTGGGGTGAAAGACATCCAGGTTGCTTTGCTTAGCCTGCTGCTATCACAGTTCTTACGCAGATAAACAGCTGTAAATAGATGGATCCAGAAATACAAAGTACATAACCTTTTTTTGTGCAAAGTATACATAGAACTTGGTTGTGCTGTAGAAAATCAGTCAACATCAGAATTGGTACAAAATAAAATAGTATAGTAATATTCCAACTGATGCTTATTTGCAGGTATAGCACATAAGTAAGCATTTTGTTGCCAACTAGCATAGAAAGACCGATGCACCGTGTCCGCAGGAGGCTGAATATTGTGACTCAACAATAACTCAGTAAATTAGAGATTACTCCTTCAGGTCCTGAGAGTTTTGGCACATTCAAACATTCAGCTGCTTTGTCCCAGTCTGTGCGATGAGAAAGTGGTAAAGTGAGCAGTGTTGGTGCATTTCAGCCATGAAGGCACATCACAGCATTGAGCCAAATAAAATGGCAAAATATAAATATTTGACCCTTTCACTTTCTCCTCCTTTTTTGAGGTTTCTCGCACACATCAAAAGAGTGTCTATGTTTTGTTCAGTGGAAAGTGACAGTTTTTACTGGCAATGATTATGGGCTATATAAATAAACTGGACCTGACTTATAGGTGTCTCTGCTATAGTATTGTCAGTATTGTCCAGGATAAAGAAATGTCTCACCCCTGAGCTTCTCTTTTTAAAAACTGTCCTTTTTGTCTCTTCTCACATGTGTGAGAACTCCCCAGCATTGCCTCTGGGCCTCTTAAGGAGAGCATAAGAACAGAATAACCAAACCAGGACAAGATGTTCTCAGCTTGTCTTGGCAGAGTCTTTCAGCATTGTGATGTGGACTAGGTCATGGTCATTCTGTCCAATTACAGCTCTGTCATTTGCTAATTAGTGAGATGGAAGAAAGGAAGAATTATGGAGAGATAGATGAAAAGAACAGGGACAGACACAGCACGACGCAGTGTGATCTGAAGTGTCTGATTCGCTTTAACATTTAGCCAGAGGGGAAAAATAGGCAGTTTCAGAATCACAATCTTCAATCAAGATGGAAATGTTAACAATGGTTAATAGCAGTGTGACCTGACATTTGTTTTTTGTCAGTTTAAAAAAATCTTTAATATTAATGCCAGAGTGATGTAAAGTACATTTAAACCGGTTATGGCTAGAGACAAATAAAGAAGCACAGCTGTGCTCCGCTTGATAAGCGAAGAGTTCATGGTTCGTTTCCTCCTGCTGAATATCAACTTCACCCTTCTCTATGGCCCTTAGAGGCTGTCTAGTTGTCCCTGGCACACCAGGTGTGCTGTGTCTGTTAATGGCCATATACAGACAGTGGACAGCTTATTAAGGAAGCCAGCCATCGTCCTGATTCACCCTGTGTGTCAATAACTCCAGGCGTCTCTCTCCTCTCATTTTCACATCTTCCCTTCCCTTTTTCCTATCTTCCTTTTGTCATTAGGCCCCGTAATTGGCCCTTCTCCTGTCTGAAAGCTGTCTCCCTCCACATATTTCCCGTTGTCTTCTTTTTCATGTCCTGAGGTTTGTTGTTTTGGTTTGGGGTTATGCGTTACATGTCCTCTGGGAGCTTTATGCGACTTGTGGCTGTAGCAAGGCTGACTTGGCCAGGCCCAGTCATGAGATGGACTAACAAGCTGAGAGGCCAGTGATCGGCGCCTGACCCAGCAGGATATATTTAGCAGTGAGCATGTCACAGGAGAAAAGGAGGAGGTGATGGCTGAAACCGTGTGCTGAACTGATGCCATCTGCTCAGCTCCATGCAACTCAAGGTGGTTTGATAAAACTTAAAATAACTTTAGCAACTAAACCCTGCTAGTGCACTGTCTACAACTACTGTATCTATAATACACATGCGTTATATTACTACCCATAAATCTGTTTACGCTTCTGTGTTTTGGGTGTTTTCTCAGACCACTTCTTGGACAATCAGCAATGATGCACAAAGATGTGTCACACCATGTTTTGGGTGGTAAGAGAGGATTGGTGAGGACAGGTGGTTGTTGCCAAGAAACTGCATAGGCTGTATTTATGATGTCAATATAAGGATGCCACCATCTCCAATGCTCTTGATGATTTACATTGTGTAAACTTTAGCCATGTGGAATACAGAGTCACAACTAACCAGTTTGTGTTTCACAAAAGCATATACAAAAATATGGCCTTTGATGATTTACTGGCGCTTTCTGTAAAACTTGCAGTTAGATGATATGTTGAAGCATTCACAAAGTGCGTATGTGTGGTTATTGATGTAATCAGTAGCTCAAGATAAGGCTTTCTTTTACCTTGGAATCTTGAATTGTGTGTATGGGTTATTATCTCATAGGAATGACCTTTCAAACATAATGTTTACTTAGTTTTAGAGTTGCTGCAGTAAGGGTAGCAACGACACTTTGAATAAAGTCTACGCTGGCCGTGTCACTCCAACAGCCTGTCAGCAGAGCAAGTCTTCTGTCACTCCCAGTCATGTTTCTGCAGTCAGAAGCTTTTCAGCCACAGCCTCAGGTGCTGGAAACCAAACATGAGCATTGGAAAAAGGGCACGAGTATTAGCACTCTGCTGTCGGGTTTACCAAAGTTAGCTCTAATTTGAGTTTGTATTACAATCATGGCTGATGTCATTTCAACAAACATTTGTCCTTATTAAATGTCAGATATTTGATGACTGAAATGATGGGGTAAATTATTTGTTGTTCATTTGAAACATGTGCATGTGCCTTGTTGGAACTTAGAAGTGGTAAAATCAAAAATTCCTTGAGCCATTTTAAGGCCACAGTGACATGTGTGTAATAAAGTTGGAGGATTGACTGCCTGTATTGAGCTGGTGGAAACAGTAGAAATTAAGAGATTCAGAGGCCTGACTTAAAGGTTACAAACACCTGACAAGCAATTGTGGTGCTGTTAGAAGTAGTGGTGGACAGCTGTAGTAATAGTAGTTATAGCAGTAGTAATAGTAGTAGTGTTGTTGTGTGTGTGATAGTTGTGCTTGTCAAAACTTGTGAGTATCATATTGCTGGTGGAACCGTAACCTTCTTAATCCTTTTGTTTTCATAACCTCTCAACTGTTTTCCTTCCTGTTACCTGCAAGTCTCTCTTTTCCCCAGTTCACCCATTGTGTATGTCTCTCCCCTGTTGCCCTGAAAAGTCTGTGTCTGTTCTGTTGGATCTCCTATTCCAGTTCATTACCCAACCTCCCTTCACAATGACCCGCGCATCCTGCCAGAGCCTGTGGCCAGTCTGAGAGCCAGCCACTGCAGTCCAGTGTTTTACTTACTGGACAATGGTAAGAGGAGGGATGTCTCACAGATCTCAGCCTCTTCATGGACATCTGCTTGTGATTTTTTACTGTATGGCAAAAAATGCAACAAGGGAGGGAGCTGGGATAATTGGGTTGTCTTTGGACAGGTGGTTGGTTCGATGTTGCACCCTGCATGCTAACTCTGCATCCACACTGTAAGCAACACTATCAGCAAAACACCAGAGGCACATTCACACCTTACAGAGCTACAGAAATGGGGAACTTAGGTTAACAGATTTAATTGAATTTGTCCACCTTGAAAACCATTTTTTTTAAATTAGTCAGTGAGTGCCAAGAGCAAAACGTATGTTTTAGCTTATATGTTTCCCCAAGTTTCTTGAAGAACAGATATCAATTGCTGGTGCAGAATGGATGAGAAGTTGATTACAACTATTCAAAGCTTTCCTGTTTCACTTCAACTTTAATATGAAAGGGTGAATGTCTAAAGAAAATAGGTGAAGGATGCATATTTTCTTTCAATCATTTTATTTTCAGTTTATATAGGTCATGCACTCAGTGTTGCACACTGATACATAACACAAACACAAATACTAGACCCAGACAACGGCAGGTCATACAATCAATCAGAGTTAGAGGGAAAAAAAGAAAAACCCCACAAACTAAAGAAAAAACAAAGAACAAAACACAAACCTAAATCATCATCCTCCATATTATAACTACTATGACAATGAAATGTACACAGTGTACACAGATCACTCAGATGCCAAAGTTGCAAAACCTTTTGGTATGATTTCCGCATAGTCTTCTCCAATAAAGTCTATAACAGGGCTCCAAAGAGAGATGAACCCATTCATGTCTCCTTGGAGAACATGTGTGAGCCTTTTCAACAGGAGTTGCTGTTGTAAAAGTTGCAAAACATGAAGATGCATCTGTCATCAGGATTGATAGGACATTTAAAACCAAGTGGCACTGGCTACAAACCTGATAAAGGAAAAGAAACCTGTACAGGGGGTACACAGCTGGCAGGTGGGAAGAGAGTTCTCATCCTTGTTCCTGCACCGGTGACTCCTGCTGGTTGAACTGCAGTGCAAAGGGACTTCCAAATTGCAAATCCAAATAAGCAATATGTTTATCATAAAATCACAGTGAATACTTAAAAATACAATAAAACATTGCCAATTTTTGATGATCAAAATGTTGTAGGTGCAGTTCACTATACAAATGCAATCAGACCACCTCATGCCACAACAGAATGACCCAATCAAGTTGCTTGCAGTGTACAAAAGCTGACCGATGCTGTGTTTCTAGGAGTAGACTGTCTGTCACTGCTTTGTCAATGTGTTCCATGCTTTTGTGCGGATGACTGCTGGTGTTGCATTATCTCTCTGCCCCAGCTGCAGGGGGTGGACATTGTGATGTTTGTTGTATGTGCCAGATCTGGGCTTTGAACTTGAAACCTTCATCATTCAGTGGCAGTGCTGCAAGGAAGGCAGGCTTTGGAAGAGGAAGGGATTGTATTCCAGCTGGGTACTTCTCTTCCTCACTCCGTCAGTGCCTCTAGTGCTTCATTCTCTGTGACGTTAATCATTATGCCTCCACTGGATTCACATGTCTTTGTCACTAAATGGCAACATGCTTTTTTACCGGACTGTGGCACTTGGAAGTGTCTGTGTGTGTCTGTCTGACTGTGTGTCAATAAACCCACAATTTCATCTTGTTGTCTTCTCAGCTAACATTCATCAATGTCTTGTCTCTAACTGACTGCATGGTGCCCACTGTGTGGCCAGCTGCGGTGCTGATGAATATGACTTCAGCTTGCTTTATACGTTTATCAGTGTTGTGGCCTGATCAATTCCAACATTAGCCCCATTTGTGACCTCAGAACTCTGTACATTACTATGATTTAGTCACATAAAATTCCTTACACGGATCTTAATGGAAAAATCAACTCATTATTACCATGCTAGCGGCGGTGCTCTGGGGATGGCAATGTCAGTTGGCCGGTTGGTCAACCACTTTGGTCAACCAGACTGACATATCTCAATAACTGTTGGATGGATTTCCATGAAATTTGGCCCCAACATGCATGTTCCCCAAAGGATGAAGGCTACTGACTGAACCTTCTGACTTTTCAACTAGTACAACCATGAGGTCGATATTTGTGGTTTTAAGTGAAATTGTAATAACTTCAACCATCATCAGGTCCAAATATTAACTTGTCCTGTAGTTTGGTTTATGACCAAATATCTGTAAGACTGAAACTGATGATTATTTTTATTATCACTAAATATGTTGATCGTTTTCTCAATCGATTAGTTGTTTAGTCCAGAAAATGCTGATCACTGTTTCAAAGCTCAAGGTGATGTCCTCAATTTAGACATTTTTCTGACTCAAAACAATTAATCGATTATCAAAATAGCTGGCCATTAATATAATAGTTGAAAATTGACTAATCATTACAGCTCTAAATACCTGCAAAACTAATTTCCACCAGCCACAGCTCTACTTTGCCATCATGAAGAACATGTTAATATGACGTGATCATTCAGCTCAAAGCATCACCTTAAAGTGCTGCTAGCATGGATATAGATTCTTAATCTTAATCTAACATCTTCAGAGGTATTTTCACAGGCATCTGTTGTCCACCTGAAATGATAAATTCTCTGCCCATGGGGAACCAACTTTTAAAGCCAACATATTCAAGGCTAGCACAGCAGAGTTAGAGATTAAAGCGAAACAGCGCAGTGTGTGAAAATGTTGAATTTAAGCAACTTGACCTCGGCAAAATGTTTTATCATTTCAGACAGTAGACATCTGCAGGATCACAAAAAAAAATGTTTTTCAAAGTGCAACACACTGCTTTTACTCCAGATCACAGAGGAGTAACATGTGGACTACTGAGGTCACAAATGGGCCTAGTCTAACATAAACTGTTATCATACAAGTGTTTTATTATTGTCATGTAAAGATACTAACAACAAGATACCAGCATGGAGTAAAAGGTACTTCAGCCATGAAAAGAAAGCACATGAAGTGTATTATTAATAATAATATTATTAATGAACATAGACTTATTACAATTGTCATATTTAGACACAAAATTGTGATGTTTCTCAACCTGCATGCACGTAGGTTGAGTGAGCATGCCTTAAAAACAACAAAAAACGGTAATGAATGGTAGCACATGCTGTTTGGTTGGTTATTGTTCATATTCACAATAAACAACCCTCCAGGACATCAGATTAATCCCAGCTGTTTATTTTTGATTAAAATTAAGCATTTATTGCAGCCACTGAGCTATTAAACAGAGGAACATGTGAATGTAACAGGTTTATTATGGGAACATTTTCTCTGTTTTTGTATTCACAACACTGCACATTTTGTATGGTTGCAGCAACATCTGGTCACCACAGTTCATTATAAAACGCATGCACAGAGCCAATCTATTATCTTATTTGCGAACACTAATGTGGAAGGCTTAATTGTTCCTGGAAAAAACTGAAACAGAAATAATAAATAATAAAATATTAAATTAAAATACCATAATATTCTAATTTCCTCTGCAATACAGAGAATATATTTTTCCTCAAAATGACCTTTTGATACTGAGCTGCCTACATGGTCCTTCACAGCAAATAAACTGTATGGAATAAACTGTATTACATTACAGTAAATAAAAAAGTTCTGCCATTTCCTGCAGTAGGCTCCATGTCCTCTGCTGTACTCTTTTCTTTTATGGTACTCTTTGGCAGAAGGATTGAAACTTAAGTCAACATTTTTTCAAAGGAATCATCATTGAATCAATATTGATTTGAATGAGGAATTTTCCAAATCTAAAGTAAGTGTTCAGATCTATAAGGAATGTAAATTCATGGTCATGCTGTTTTCCTCCTGGTCACAAAATATATCAAGAGTCATTTAAACACCATCCCGTGTCTTCCACATGTCGAGTTAATCATTCAACACAAAGAAACAATAACATATTGCCTTCTTTTTGAGGGGGAAACTGACTCATAGCATCTCAAGTTCGACCTTTGCAGTTCTCTACTTACTGCAAAATGCTTGCAAAATGTTTTACCAAGTTATTTTTTTGCCACCAGTGTCTGACTGTGATTTTTGTATTGACACCCTGTGGTGTCACCCTGTTTATTTGTGCTTCCATGTCAGACATCCCAGGCCATAGAAAATCTGATTTTAATGGGACATTTAAGCAAATTTAAAACAAAGATTTTATGCAAAACTGATATATTTCAGTCAGATCTTTGGCTCTTAGAGAGTGGGACTCAAGTTTGTCATCCAAGTAAAATTAAATATGTTATTCTTACCTTTTTGAGTTGCAAGAAATACTACGCTCAAGATATTATTTATTTATGTTATTTACACTCGCCTAGTATATCACTGATTCTGCAAAGATAGCTGGCCTGGGACAACAATGGAGCATGCATTTTGAAATATGCCTGCCGTGTGCAACTGCACCAATTTGCATGTTCTGGTTCGTTGTTCATTTGAGTGATTTCCATTTTGTTTGGTTTGAGGTCTTTTTTGCACTTTTGTTTGTCATTGTTTTTGTCAGATTACACCTACTTTATTTTTTTATTTTTTATTTTTTATTTTTTTTATTTGAAGGGATTAACTGGTGCTTTGTTTCCTATTCTTTTGTTTCAGTAAAGGGACCCGGCAGAAAGTTAAGTCTGCCAACAGATCTTAAGACTGATCTTGGTACGGTAGGCGAAAGCCAGCAGTTTTCACTTGATTTCCTTTGAGTCATTTAGTTTCTGCTTTTATCATGTTTTCTAGGCTTTTATGTTGCTTTAGAATTTTTTTATTCTCACTCGAATTTTCTTCTTTCAGTTTCCTTGTCACTCTCTACTCCTGTTTACCAGCCCATGAGACTGTCCGGCTGAAGTGTTTGTCCATTTTGCCCCTTAATGTATTTTGATTTGATTTAAATTTCAGTATTTTTTCTTCTACATTTTGCAAGTGTTTCTAAAGGTGATTTGTAACTCATGCCCATATTTAAATTTGAGGTTTTCTATCGCTTTATCATGATTGGACCATCTTCTGATTTTACGCAACCTTTCCTCCATTGACAGCCTTGCTCTACAGTGATTGGATCACTCACTACCTCTTTCATTGTAACTGGATCATTTCTCTCTTAAACAGTCTTTTCTCCATTTTTACTGGACCATCTGTATTGCAGATACTGAGCATTCCCCCCATACATCTCTAACTGCTTTACATACACATCACAATCTCAGGTTTCCCTTTGCTCTGCTTCTGCAGTGTCACACATGCTGTCCCCTTTAAACACTTGTGCTTCTTTAACACAAAATGTGCCAGTGCCTCCTTATTCCTGTGACTTGCCTCATCTAATAAACTTTCTTTATTTGACAGGTATTTAAAAAAATGCTTTTATTTTGTCAACGCTGTGTTATATTTCATTGAAGCAATATTGAAAGTGGGAACATTAACTCAGATTTTAAAATTCAACTTTGAAACGATCAACCTTACCCTTGGTTTCCTCGTCACACATTTAGTATAATCAAAACCATTTTAAGCTCATTCAGTTTCCTGTGCGGTTCAAACATGCCCCTGAAGTGTCAATAGGATGCATGACGTCAGTAAAAGAGGAAACACTTAATGAATCTTTTAGCCTGTTAATAGCTATTATGAACTTCTTAACAGCTGTGGGTTATGCAAACAAAATATTTTGTTGGAACAGTCTGTTCTCTGACAGAGAGTATTACTCTGTGTGCGTGTCTCTTGATGAATAAGTGCAGGAATCCGCGTGTTGCGGGAGTGTGTGTGTGCTTGTGTGTGTGTGTGTGTGTGTGTGTGTGTGAGGGTACAGTGCTATTCTTTCTGCTATGTACCAGTTTCCTGCAGAACATTTCGGGGCAAATGACTGATTTTCTGCATCTCTTTTTGAAATTCACAGTAACAAAACATTTAGACAGATACACAGCAGTGTTGTGGTTTTACTCTGGTTATTGGTTGGCCACCTGCAATTTTCAATCGCTGCATTGCCTCGGGTCAGTCCTGCTGTGAAACTGGACGAGTGTTGCACGTGGACTGGGTGGCACCCTGGAGTTTTTCATCTTCACTTTGAAATTGAATCATTTGTGCATCAACCGGCTGAATGGGAGACTTAGATTTGATATGACAGACAGACGATCAGTTCCAAATACTAAGAGGACCATGACAAGGGAACACTGTCTAGTGTTTTTACTATTAACACAATTATCCTCAGGCCTCATAAGATATAAATTGTAGAATTTCAGGGAGGAAAGGTAACAAAAAGATAGGGAAAGGTTCAATCTGGCCTCGCTGTCAATCCCAAATCGTCTTAGCTTTGGTTTTACTGCCACAGGGATGTCATTAAATAAAAGGGCACTGTTTTATTTACTCGTCTCTCAAGACAAGTGAGAATGAGAGTACTCAGGCGTAGGTATATGAAGCTGTTAATTACGGCTGTCTTGGCAGCTTTTTAGTCTTGCCGATTAAACTGCGGGCACCAAAGAACCACAGAGTGCACCCAATCCACACAATCCTGCCTGGCTTTTCTTTGTCTCCTTAATAAGGTTTGGCTCTAAACAAATTATTTTGCCCACACACACAAGTAAGGACAAAGCTTCCAACAAACTCAGTCCCTGAGGGGAGGCCATGTAAGGCTACAGTTCCAGAAAGTAACAAGTGCTTCCTGTCACCACCATTTGTAGCTGATAGTGTGGCCCAACCAACTTAACCGGAGTACTCATTTGCAATGCAATTAAAAAGCAGACATTAGATTTTGTTCTTTTTTCTTTTCCTTTGATGTTTACTTGTAGCTTTTTGCCATAGCCAGTGATGTTATGAGGCTTCTGGTCTTCTGCTGAAAAAAAGAGGTTTCCTAACAATTCAAAAAGCAAAAAAGAAACAAAGTGGAGATGAAACAAGCCTGTTTTTGTATTTCCTGGCACTGACTGGATGAAACAGCACTCACAATTTGCCTCTGCATTTTCCTCTTTTTTTCTGTTGCCCCAGCATCTCCTTCTCCTCCCTGCTCATACTTACTTCAAATCACTTTCCAGCCCTTTGTCACTCACTCTCGCTTTCCCTTTCTCCCTCAATACTATCTTTCTTTTTGACAGTCTGATTTTCTACATCGGCTTGCTCGTCTTGCACTGCAAAAATATCCATCTTCATAGGTCGTGTAGTATAATTCTGAGTAGCAGTATTTTAAACGGATGGCAAAATCTCCAAATAGGGTGAGAAAACTCCAGCTCTTTCCTTGAAACAGACAAAACTGCATTATAAATAAGTAAAATTCTCTCCCCTCATTTGAAGATTTCTAGATAAAACAAATTTCATGGCTCATCATTAGACTAAATGACTTATGAAGATGGATACTGCAGCAGTGGATTAGAATATGTTTGAAAGTTTTATTTCCATCTTTATATTGTTTGCTAATGCTTTGCCGTTGTTACAGATCATGTCAATGGACATTGCACTAGCCCCACCTCTCAGCCGTGCTCGGCGGGGAAGCCTCGCGTCCCGATGGTTCCCGAGGGGCCACGGCTTACCCGCAGAGGCCCTGGCCGACCGCCCTTCCGCAAGGCCCAGTCCGCTGCTTGCATGGAGATCTCTTTGCCTGTGTCCCACACTGAAGGTGTGTGCTTGTCTTCCCAACTCCCATCCCTAAACCTCTATAACATACCCTCCCTCCCAACAAGTGCATGCCATCCTCTCACCCAGGGGTAAGTGGATTAAGGCCTGATACATAGTTCACACAAGACAAGCGTATGCTAATGCAAGTTAGCAGCATAAAAAACCTAAATTGTGCTTTTTGATTTCAAAGGCGGATGCTGTAAGTGGAAGTTTGCAAAGACATTTAAGATTTGACTGCTTGCCCTTCTCCGCACAGTGATTGCCCAATCATGGTTTCGCATCCAGAACTAGGCACTGTGGGTATGTCGATCTGTTGAAGCGGTGTACATGGTGCTGTAGAGTTTGATGTCTTTTTTAGCAGAAGAGTAAGGAATTGTGTTTGACTGCTCAAGTTGCATTGACCTAGCTTACTACAAGCAGTTATCTGCTACAATAGTAACTGGTGCATATTTTCCAAGAGTAACATTTTTAAACGAGTCAGCTGAAACTTAATGTTAGCTTAAAGAGCTAGTAGCTGATAACTGTTTATTTCAGTGTGTCCTTTGGTTTTAGAAATTCCTAAGAATATGGAGTGACAAGTCTGCCAGCGTTATCAATGTAAACTGCATCTGTGCCAATGCGAGAACAGAAAGCGTGACAGGCGTAGCAACAGTAAATGCGGAGTGAGGGGCATAGCGAATGATCAAATTTGTTAATATCCTCCAAAACATAAATAGTCACTGCAAATTGTCTATGAACATAATTCTTAGAAGATATGGTTGCTCACAAAGGTAACTGGTGATCTGCCGTCAGACACCTAGTTACCATATGAACATAATGACTATCACTGCTGTTTTCATCAACTACTTCTTCACAGTTGTTGAGCAGTGTTTGCATTTAGCCACATTAAACATATGTTGGAACTCTGCAGCTTGCATTAGCAATAACATTTGGACGACAGGTTCTGCTTGTCTTGAATGCAAGAAACAGCCCTTGCATTGAATCCCTTAATACTGTTGCTTGTGTCGACCATGTCCCAGGCCTGAAGGTTGCTGCAATATAACTGTAAGTGTTTTAACCAATTGATTTTTACTTCTACAGTGCCTTTCTTCCTTGTCATCTATTTAACTGTAAAAGCAGCTCTGGTGTCTTAGCAATGAATCTCACAGATTTGTTTCCTGACAACTAAGTAATATTTTCTGCCTTTTTTTGTGTCATATTTTTGGCTCTCCTCATAAATAGATGAATGAATGTTTTGTTTTTTTGGAAACTAGGTAATGGAGCACCCATGAGGCTTATGTAGTGTGGCCACACCTCCCGTCTTTCTCATAATCCACAAAACTTTGAGTCGAGGGAAGCATTACATCATCTTAATTTAGTTTGTGTTTCTTTTTTCAAACAGCCCTTTTCTGTATGCACACAGATAAAATAGTGGAATAAGTACTACAAGACAACCATTCAAGCATGATTTGCACTCTGGCATTTTGACATTCTCATTGACAAATCTGACATTTATTTTCTTCCATTTGAAGTCCTTTAATTCACACCCTGACACTGACCTGCACCATCTAAAAATGGATTGACCTAGCAGGCTATGTGTGTGGTGTGTGTATGTATGTATGTGTGTGTGTGTGTGTGTGTACATATGCCTTTGTGTGTGATAGAAAGGAAATGTGAGTATTTGTGGGTGTATAAATATGTTTCTGTGTCTATGTGTGTGTGATACCAAAGTGTTTCAGTGCTTATATTGCTACTTTATTTCTATATTATCACTGGTTTATCTGAATTAAGCCAAACACCCTATGAAGGCCTTAATAAAACAGCTTCCTCATGTTCAACATGTAATACAATGTCTTCCTTGAAGATTTGATTACTATTTTAAAAGAAGCATGGTCATGTTTGAGCCTTGTCGTTGGGTATATTTTGCAATTCTGTTCTCACATAAGTGACAGCCAAAGCAAAACCACAAAGGTTGATAAAATTACATGCTGTCAAGTGAGGACTTAAAATGACAATCCCCACAGTGTAATTTTGAGATACTGACCTCAGAACTGACACAGAAAATGGCCTCTGTCAGGATTGTACATCAGCATTTGATTACAGTGTGCATTAAATATTGCACTTAGTCTGTCACTGCCAGGGGACATCAAGACACCAACCAATGCAGGGCATCTATTGACTTTGAATAAACAACATCATCCCACTCAGACAAAGATGAGACATACCACTCTTTTACCTCAAAAGGACACTCTTTCTTTTGTCATGTTGGACATTTTATTTTTCTCTCTTGCCCTCAGAACTTGATATTTTGTAGTAGTAGAAAAATAAATATAAATAGTAATAATACATTTTGGTGAGCTTAGCTGCACTTTAAGCCTTTACAATTATTCACATTGCTGTGTGATTTTCTGAGGGTGGTGGACACTGGCTGAAGAGATTGCAGGTTTCAGAAGTGGATAATCCACAAAACGTGACGTGATGGTGCACGACCAGCACTCCATTGCCTTCATATAGCGTTGATGCATCTTACATACAGTATATAAACTTGTGTCCTGAAGGAGAGAACACTTCTGGAAAGCTCGGGCTGTGCGGGTCACTAACTCATGGTCTTGTCTTTATTTGCTTTTAGTCAGGGCTCTGTCAGATTAACAGAAAGTCTCTGTCAGGTCACGACAGGCTAATAACTCCATAGGAGACTCAACACTGTGACAGTTCCCAAAATGTCACAGTTACTGTAGCCACCTCTGCACGCACATCAGACACAAAGAAGCACAACGGTTGCAAATCTTGGCAGTTGAAAGCAGGAGCTTGTTCCTAAATCACATTCTCTTTACATCCATGCTGTGCTATAAAATTATGAAGATTTTTGACACCCATTTGTTACTACATTATGTATTGTGCTGTAGTGCAAAGTATTTATGCTAAATAATGAACAGGATAGGTGCAGTGCTGTTTGTTGTGTCACACTTGACCCTTTTACACCAATTCTGCAATTAGATTCAGGCTGCCATCTTCATCAACCTCATTATACGACAGTGACCTGGAGAGCCGAGAGGGAGGCATTTTTTCATTAGCATAAGCTGAATGTTTTATTAAAGCCACTGTCTGGGCTACAGCGACATTATCAACTAAACCAATGCAGACAATGGTAGAAATCGCTCTTTTCCACAGTTGATTAAATGCATCTATAACCTCTTAAAATATCCAGAAGAAACTGTCTGACAGACATCATAAGTAATTTAACATGAAACTTTGAATTAGGATTTAACAAGGTAGGTGTTTGATATTTAAAATAACCAAAAGGCATAATCTCTCATACAGGGGCACAGAGATGGATGTACCTACTAGCCACCAAACTCACTGACTGATAACATTGTGCTAAATCCTAACCATAGGCAGTATTAGCATGTCATTGTAATCCGTTGGCATGAAAGATAAGGTTAGTAAGGTTACAAGTTTTAACATTAGCAATGGCCGTGTTACTTAGATACACATCAGCGTAGAAATGTCAAATGCTTACTAAACCCCATCTTTATTCAAGATGTCATTGTCAGAAATTCAACTGTAAAGCAAAAAATAAAAAAATGTGTATATATAAAATGTTTTTTTCAAGCCTAAAAAAAAAAAACACCTCTTCGAGAGTCGGTTTGGCACTAAATACATCATGTCACTGTCTGTCTAAAGGATAACTACCTGGCCTCCGGTGCTTCATTGGTAGACAATGTCCCTCTGCTCTCATAGTGCTGAAATAACTTGGAGAACATGGCTGTAATTAATTTACAGTAGTAATCACAGTATCCACAATTTGACATGACATCACATTTGTGTCCTTTGTCTTAAGCGGAAATTCGGGGGAAGCATAAAGAATTAAAGCTCTTCTCTTTTGTACTTTATCATAGTAGTTTTTCTATGTCTATACACACCCAATGCATGCAATAAGTCCATGAGATACCCCACAGAATCTTCCTGTGTGTCAAAGAGATCTTTGGCCATTCACATTTTGGGACAAACTTGTCTAATCACTCATCTGAATGTCATTATATAAATCCCTTCCAATCAGGACACACCTCCCTCTGACCAAACTTGGCACACATGATATTATATAACCTAATAGATAGCTTGCTGTGAAGTTTTTTGAGCACACTTTCATCACTTCCATGCAGTGTAATAGATATATTGTACCCTCCACATGCCACATTGTTTTACATATCAGAACAGATTTACTGCAGACTAACCTGTCCGTATTTCAGATTCTTTGGCACATTGTACTGGATCAGTCAAACATTTGATGCAGTGCATTTTTATATGATGCAATATACAGGATAAACTGTTTTTGTTGCTGCACTTTGATTTAAGCACTCATCAGTTTAATGTTCTGGGTAAGAAGTATTCTGTAGTTTAGTGTTTTCGCATTGCAGTTCCCCCTTCCTTTTTATGTGGTCACATCCATCACTTTAGAACCCCTGTGGTAGTCAAATTACATGCAATGATCTCATGAATGAGATAACTCACTAGGAGATGCATGCGATAAGAAAGAAATTAACGGAAAAATTCAGAATGTCCTTAGTCTTCAGCAGCTTTAATGTGGGTTTATTGTGTTTGAACAGTTGCTTTTCTCAACAGACCGCCACTGCCTATTCTCTATCTGTTTCCTACCTTTGGCATTGTTGTTTATCAGTTGCACTGAGTTACCACAGTGAAGAGCCAGCAGGCTCACTGGAATAATTAAAGGTCAACAAGCGGTGCAAGAGATGAGGCCGATATTAATGAGGCCTGCATGCCAGGAGAGGAAACAGAGGAGGGAAATGGCAGGGGAAGCCAGACTCAGTGTACAGTAAACATTTCCATAACGCCCATCTTGGTTAAGCAGCACAAATATTAAATATTGAAGACGAGATTGTATGTCACTGTTAGAATGTTGTATGATACCCGCAAATGTGAGCGGTTGTTTACGATCGATAAAAATATAGGATAGATAGTTGTTGACCCTCAGTGTAAATGAAATTAAGTCAAGTATAACCCACATAACAAAGAATCCTATAACATCATAAAATCGTAAAATAGAATATATTTTTCTGCACCATAGGACAGGGCTGAGGTGTCTCAGTGACTACCTGGCCAGATGCCAGATGCTCAGGTCCACACCCACACACACCTACGTCCATGTTTTACTGCAGGGTAAAAACCAGGTACAGAAGCAGTGGGTCTGCTATTTTATGGTTTGTCCCTGTTGGATCTCTGCAATTATTAACTACATTGTTAGAATGTTACATTTTAAGTTAAAATATTTATTTCCCAATTCCCAATTCCCAATTAAGCACACAATCAATTACTGGAATCTGATACATCTATGTGTATGTGTTTATTGGCATTAAAATAAAACCTCACACAAAGCTTTGTACACAGTCATTGGTGGTACATAGAAATGAAAAAAGAGTTAAGCGAGTCTCCAGGTGTTTGTCCTTGTCTCTCTACACTGTGTGTGGGTGTATGTGCATGTACCACTGTATAAATCCAGCACTTTGTCTGTCTCACTGCGTCAGATTGTCTGCCTTCCCTTATCACCTCCCTGACACTGCCTCGCCAGCCTCTAGCTCCCTGTAAGGGCCCCCCAGGGGTCCCTGTGTCCTGTCAGAGTACTACTGTGCCTGACTTTCATTAGCCAGCACCCCACAGGCTCTGTCATACAGCGTAAACACACTCCAGCGACACATGGCTGCTACCCAGACTCACAGCAAAAGGCTATTTTGTCTTTGTGGCTGCCAGCGGCATCGTACATCATTGTTGTCACGACACCAGAATTTGTACTAAAAAAAATATCCAAATATATTAATAATGTGGTATACACTGATACTGTGGTAAACAAGAAATTCAACCAACAACCAGAATCTGAGCATTTCTGTAGTAGTTTTCAAGTCACTTGTGTATTGAATTAATTCTGTAGTTGACTCCTTGTACTAGTTTTGTAAACTGGTGCAGTCTGTAAACTGGGGTCCACTCCAAGTGTTTTTGCACTTGCGACAGTATCAAAGAAAGTAGTATCAAAATTTTGGTTGTCATGCAACACTGCTGTACAGTAGCTCTTTACCGACCACACTGGACTGCATGCCGACGTGCTGTATCAGAGTTATTCATGACATTAGAGGGGTAGAAACCTGCTACTCTTGCCAAAAGTGTTTAGTTGAGCAGATGGTGCTGAAAAAGGGTTTTGAGAGAAGGTGGATAAGCGAGTAGAGGTTGTGTGGCCACCAGAAACATAGATGAGAAGCCTCTTTTTCAGTTGCACTCTCTTTCTCTGTCTTTGTTTTTTTTTTTAAAGCAATCTCTCCACTCCAGTTGCATCTTTCTCTCTTTTCCCTTTCTCTCTCATTCTCTCGTTCTACTGTACAGTCCTGTCCGTCCTCGTCTGTTTTTCTTTGGCTGGGGTGGCTGGTTGTGTTGTGTGTTGTGTTGTGTGTGTGTGTGTGTGTGTGTGTGTGTGCTTCTTTGGGGCAATGGTGGGGTGTGGTTTGTTATATGGGGGTTCATGTTGTGGGGCATTAGTAGGTTATGCATCCAGGAGGGCAATGCTTCAGCAGTTTCATGGAGTCACTATGTACTCCCACGACGAGCACCACATCAGCGCCCCCTACTGCTGGAGCGAGAGAGGTAAGGGAGCTTCGGCCACAAACCCATTAACTGCTGTCCTGCTGATTATTATACGTCCGTCCGTCAGTCAGTATGTCAGTCCGTCTTGTGGCCCTGTTTCGTCTATAACTTGACTAGAAGCGGTTATCCCGAGGTTTAGGAGTAGGGTAATGCCATCTTTATAGCAGTGTATGTTTTTTTGGCAGTATACTTTTTAACTTATAGTACACTACATCCCCAAAGCCCCCCATAAATAGTGGATGTCTTTTTTTAAGCCTGTACGGATTTTGGTTCTCATAATGTCTCGAAGTTTTCCTGAAAATGGCATACATTGAACATCTGTCAAAACTGTATTCATTTTAGCCTCCTCCCCCTTACCCTGCAAGTCTTGCAACACAGGAGCAGCACCCTAAGGATTCATTTTAGCCTGACATGTGTGCGCCAGGCTTTGCACCCATCTGTAGTTGTTGTTACATAAAGTCTGCACTCTGTAACATTAGGCTGGGAATGCAGTACTGCACATTGCCTGGCTCTGAATAATTCAGAAATGCAGCAATACAGAAATACTTTTTATGATGGAGGCTTTAAGTACACAATGGAGGACCTGAATGGGTAGCACTCAAACAGAGTTAAAGGAGTTTTTGAATTTGGTGCAACTGCCAATGAGTGTATGTGTGTGCGTTCTTTGTGTGTCTGTGTTTGCGTGTGTGTGTTTGTGTGTGTGTAAATACATGCAGTTTATCTGAGTATGCTGCTGAAGTGAGTGGAAACTAGTGCACTCTCAGTAAGCAAATAGAGATGTGTGTGTGTGTGTGTGCAGTTTTCCCTTTGTATTTTGATGGATCACTTTGCTTTTCAGTGGCATTTTCCTACTGTTTAACATGACATACAATCTGCAGACAAACCATAAATGACCTTTGAAGTATTTGTCTTCCGCACTCCTTTTCACTCTCCTTCTCCTTGCGATGCACTTTTTTTAACTGCTTGTCCTTTCATACCACCATTCTTTCTTCTTTGTCCACCACATTGCTGTTCCCTTCCACCACCCGTGCATCTCTACCTTTCTCTTTCCTGTTTTCTCCCTCACTCCCCTTTCTCTTGCCTTCATATCTCTCTCCTCTTGCATCCTCTCTGCCTGTGCCACGCCTCTGTGTTTGGCGCCTGCTGCTACAGAGAGTCGTGAAAACTCCTTCAGCCGCTCACGCAGCTCCAGTGTGTCCAGCATCGACCGGGACACCAAAGAGGCTATCACCACACTGCAGTTTGCAGAATCTTACGGGCGCAAGAATGACGCCGTGCCCACCCCATGTCTGTGGGTGGGCACCAGCTTAGGCGTGGTCCTGGTCATCCCAATGTCCATTCCCACCGACCAGGAGGAGAGGATGGAAGAACCTGTGACCATTGGCCCCAGCGGTAAGTCCCAATGAGACTGGGTTATCATAAAGGTGTAACAAACCTTACAGAGGTCCTTACTCACCCTACACTATTGTAGGAACAATTCCCTGCACAAGCACCAACCAGCATTACAAACATTTCCAGTGTGCTCACCATCAAATAAAGTGTTTTAAACTGTTAACTTTCTTATTTACAACCTGCCTTTTGACTGCTGTTACTTAGATAAGGTTGTCATCGTGTTCACAGATCTCAGCAACGCTTGGCTGAGTACAACATTATCATAACAGATAGAAATAATGGCCAAAATAAAGATAAGACAGATACAATTTAATGGATAAGAATTGAGAAAATTTGAAAATCCACCTTCCATCCTAAAGTCCTATTAATGAATATGTTAGGGCTTAAAAATACTTCCAGCCTTGTCAGCAACAAAATCAAGATAAAGACATGATGTCTCAAAAATTGAGAAGGACGGCATTAAGAACTACTATAGGCAGGTTTTTCCTTTAATTTGTCACCCGCTAGGGTGAATGAATGATTTCATTGTTATTTTACTTTTACCATCATTTGGAAAGTGTCCACTCATCACCACAGTCAAGCCATACACATATTAAACAGTACTGCATCCTTTTATATTGAATTGTTCTATCTCCTGTGGCTTTCAAGCTGTGATAATAGGTTTTAGGCTCCACATGACAGATAAAAAACCTAATGTGGATTTTCAATGTTTGAATGGGCTTGATGAAAACAGAATGACTGGACTGTACTGAATCTTCTTCGTATCCCTATTGTTTAACCATGAAACCAAAATTTGGAATATAACAAAGCCTCTAAACTGCAGGTTCATCAGCTCAAAATGTCCAGATTACTTTAAGTATTTTGCATATGACAGTATTTTGCATATGTAGGTCAACCAGTAAAAAAAACAAAGACTCAAAAGAAACAAAAGGTTAGAACTTATCAAGTCAATGTGACTGATGTTGTGGACCTAAAACCTGCATTAATTGAATGTTTTTTTACGCTGCTAAATGCTGTACTATGTTCACCATCTAAGTTTGTCTGTCACTTGTTCAGTTCTTAGCAGGTACAGTGTTTGTCTGAGCTTTTTTGCTGAAAACAGCTGCCAGCTACATCTGGAGTACAGTAGTCAGTCCTTTGTACTCATTTCCATTTTACTTTGATGTGAACTTTTCAGAACTAGCAATTTCACAAATAATGATGTAGCGTACACTGACTTTAAAAACACTAATGTATGTTTGGAACCCGCTGAGACATATGAGAAAATACAATGTTTATGCAAGGCTTTAAAAATAAGAGCAGGCAATTTCCAGAGGAATTACGTGCACTCTATGAAGCTGTAAGAGCAGCATTTGAAATTCCAGCCTTCCCCTGGTCTTACTCATACTTAAATACTTCTAAAACTTAATTTGTTTCAATTCAAATGAAATTTGTTGTCATGGAGAAGAGATGAAGATCGGCGTTTGTCATGCGTGATCTTACATTGACTTCCTTCTGTATTCGAGAACAAGGATAGATGTTGCAGCCCCATTGTTTCTGCACAAAACTGAGCCACTCAGACATGCATTACCAGTCCAGAAGCCCTGCTGTGTGAGGAAAAGGTTCTCCTGCTCAGAGTAAAAACATCAATAGATCCAAAAATCCAGGCTCTTTGAAGCAGCAGTTGTTCTCTTGAGACTAAATGTACAAGAAGCAAGCTTATTACTGGAAGGTCACAGATTCAGCTCCAAGGAAAAATTGGTGAACAGAACAGAAGCAAGTACTGTTGAACTCTCCCTGTGTGTTTTCAAAGTGCTCCTGTGGATTTCCTTTGGATAGTGGATAATTTGTTATGCAGTGAGTGTTGTATTTGACAAAAATGTGAGCAAACTCCAGTGTATGTATAAATAATTCATTACTTAGTTGCCAACTGTAGATTATGTAGAAAGGTTATAGGCTCCTAAATGTGAATATGTGAACCTTTGTGATTGTTCATACTGAGTATAAATGTAAAATTCAATTAATCTCAATTTAAGAAAAGAAACAATACAATATGACTGATGACAATGAAAATAAACACTTTATCGACCAAAAGCTTAGATAAGAAATTAATGGAGATAAGTGTGAAGATGATATGCTTTAATTTCTTTTGATTTCTGTTTTTTTTTTTTTTTGCATTTAGCACCTTATTGGCTCATGGTAATAGCTTTGGAAATCTTAGTTTTAGACTTCATGCTCTCCCTCTTCTCTCTGTTGACTCTACCCAAACAACCACAGGAGCGGTCCTGATGCTGAAGGGCTCAGTGTTGCGTTTTGGCTTCTTGGACCTCATGGGAGCGCTCATTCAGAGCCCCTACGAGGTTTGGCGGGACCTCAACGCCCCGGAGAACCCTGACCGACCACGGAAGCGCAAGCTGGTCAACTTTTCACCCTCATCCTCTCAGGACACCTGCGGAGAGGGACATCTGGCTGTGGTGTGCTCCGAGAGGCAGGCCAAAGTATTCTTGATGCCCTCACAGTCTTGCCTCTTTGTCCACAACATCACTGAGTCATCCTTTGTACTGCGAGCCGACGTGGTATCTGTGTGCAACAGTGTGTGCCTGGCCTGCTTCTGTGCTAACGGACACATCATGACGATCAGGTATAACCTTAGGCACACATGTTTTCAAAACATGTGACAAACTGCAAGTGTTTTACATGTTTCTCTCTTTAAAAGATTTGTGGCCAGTCTGTGAACATAATTAAATTAAAACTCTGATGTTTTTATTACCAGAAATTACATTGATAATTCAGTATTTTAATTTTTCTGCTGCTTATATTTTGGGTTTAGACCAGGGCTGCACAATTAATCGTATAATAATTTATATCAAAACTGTGGCCTTGACAATTAATTCGACTTAGTCGAGTGCTCTGCGTTCAGAGTGCCTGCACTGATGCATTAAATAAAGTGCTTCATATTCACAGGTAAACTGGGAATAGTGTGATTAAGTTATTGGTCTTTAAGTTCAACACACTGTGACTAACTAGTGTCTGTTTCTCAAATACACCTCTAGCTACAGGCAAGAATGTTTTCAATGCAGATAAATTCAGCATGTAATTTAACTGCATTATCTATGTAGGAATTACTCCTTTCTCCTTGGGTGTTTGATGCTAATTACGTTGTCCTGTTTTATTTATATCTCTTACTTCTAACTGTACAATTTGTTTTAAGGTGATTTGTATATTTGAAGTTTTACTTATTTAAGAATATAAGATTGAAGGCAATTTTCACATATTTTGACAATTTATTTATGTCCACATAGAACAGAACAGTACAAAGATTCACAAGATCATGGACCAGTGGCATAGATTTTCACAATACAGAACATACAGCAGTTCTCAGGGGTATAAAGTAGCAGCATCTATATAGGCATATAGGACATGACGGCTCACACACACACACACACACACACACAAGAAAATGGACAAAAAATTGTTATAAATCCTGAGATTATATTTGATAAACATGATTATTATTTTTCCTTTAAATGTATTGGCAAAATTTGACTCTAATGTGTGGTGTTTACTTTGCAGGGTATAGTTTTTATTATACAGATGTTTCTGGTGTGACATAACTAGTCTTTTACTCTTCTTGCTCTGCTCACAGTTTGCCCAGTCTAAGACCGATGATGGACATCAATTACCTGCCTCTGACAGACATGCGCATTGCCAGAACCTTTTGCTTCACCAACGGGGGGCAGGCACTATATCTCGGCTCCCCGACAGAGATCCAGAGAATTACTTACAGCCAGGAGATGTGTGATAACCTGCAGGTCAGCACTGCAGTTTTTGTGTGTGTGTGTGCTATCTAGCCCTCTAATCTGTATTTCTATCAATCTGTCAATCTTATCTATATCTTTGCTATATATATATTACAGTCTGGCTATCTGTCTCTGTCCGTGACACACAAGGTTTCTATGCACGTATGATGTACACATTAAGACCGTTCTGATTTTGCTTTACTGACCATTTGCATCAGCTCACATTTTGGTTTTGAGCTCAGAAAAAGTATTGGTGCAGTAAATAAGCAGGTGCCATTATTCCCACCCTCTGTGAAACCCAGAGCTAACAGAGGCAAGTTTGCAAGAGGCAAAGTGAAATGTCACACTTGTCATATGTGGTTTGAACTCCACTAGTTTGATTGTGTGGATATAGTTTTACAGTGTGTGTGTGTGTGTGTGTGTGTGTGTGTGTGTGTACGTGGGCATATTCATATTGGTACATGTGTTTAAAAGCCACTGCTGCACTCTCACTAATGATAGCAGTTGTCAGTGGAGGCTGTAACATATGCTGCCATAGTGCCACCTACAGGCAATAGTTACTCAGATTATGGTCTGGGTCTTCTCATTGAGGAAAAGCTGTCAGTGTGTGTCAACCTGCAATAAGGCTAACACTATAATGCAATTATATGTATGGACACTATAGCAGTTTTCACAAAGGTAATAAAGGGAAGAGAAAGTAAGGAAAATGTGGCCCCTTAACTCAGTGATGACCAATGTTTGCAACAAATCGTATCTGCAATACATCTCTGGTGCAGAATAGGAAATAATTCTTCTGGAAAAGCTGTATTGATTATTGATAACAATGTTTTTCAATTTCATTGATTTCAGGAGATGCTGGGGGAGCTTTTTACACCAATAGAAACACCAGAAGCCCAGAACAGAGGCTTTCTAAAGGGCTTCTTTGGAGGAAACGCCAATACTTTCGACAGAGAGGAGCTCTGTGTGTTTTTTCATATTTTCTTTCTTTATATAGAGGGGTTCATTTTAGTGTGTACTAATTTACCTAAAATGTGACCTTCTAATTATTTAATTACTTTCTAGAAAGCACTGTACAACAAGCTAAAGGGCTAAAACTTACCCAGAATGGGTTTCATTCTCTGCCTCCTGTCATTTTCTCATTCCTTTCTACTTGATGTTGTCAACAGTTGGTGAGGCATCAGCTGGGAAGGCTTCTCGGAGTCTGGCCCAGCACATCCCCGGGCAGGCGGGGATGGAGGGCATGAAAGTGGCTGCTAGCGGAGTAGTGGGTGATCTGGCAAGGGCCCGCATTGCTCTGGATGAGAGAGGCCAAAGGCTGGGGGAGCTGGAGGATCGAACTGCCCTGATGATGACCAGTGCAGAAACCTTCTCCAAGCACGCTCATGAGGTAAAAACAAGATTATTATTATCAAACAAATGTTTGATTTACAAAAGATTATTGAAAAAAATATGAGTAAAAAGTATGTTCATGAATACAGCTGTATTAAAATAAAAAATGAACTATGATAAACTGCTTTGGAAATACAACAGAATTTATGTAAAAAATTGTTTTTTTAAATAAGAATTTGTATAAATCTACTACAAGACATTTTAACTAGTTATGAAATAGTCCAAATTTCAAACGTATACCTCTGTATGACCTACATAAGCAAATTACTATTTCTTTATTTCTTAATGCCTCCCACCGGGTCAGATTCATTTGGATTTCCCTTGAAATAAATCAAACAAGGTGGTGAAAACATTACGGCTTTTGCCCACAGGGGAATCAACACAAAAATGAAAGTTCTGTGTTGCTGCTTTAAATTACATTATAACTATATAAATATAAATGAAATGCTCCAGTAATGCCATAAAAAGAAAACAACAAGCTCCATTGTTCTCATTACATTCCCTTGACATTTCAATAACAACATACAGTAATGTTAGTTAGCTGACGGTGGCATCAAATCCTTACCATGATGTAATTTATTGACTCTAACACACTGATGTTTTAAAATGCTACCTACAGCAGCTTCAAAGCAAGCTTCTAAAAGAAATCTGCTCCATACAGGAAATTAAGCATTGACAACTTATTTCTCACCATCGACAGTATGTGACATTTTCTTCTTACAGCTGATGCTGAAGTGCAAGGACAAGAAGTGGTACCAGTTCTAATAGCAGGACAGAGGGATGAGGCTGCCCTTGGACTGCTGGGAACTTTATGCCGGGATGGGGACTTTCACTCTACAAATGAGAGCAATTAAAAGAGGGACTCAAGAGTGACATTGTCTTTACGGCTTCTGGACTGGCTATTGTACGGCACTGTCACATTGTTGAAGGACGAGGACAGGCTAGTCCCTTGTCTAGACATAGACAAGTGACGTAGTGATGAGGAGAGAAAGAGAATGGTGGCATTTGAAGGACTGAAGATGGAACTGGAAATATCCTACAAGTCTGTGTGTGTGCGCGCGTGTGCACACGTGCATTCGTGTTTGTGTGTGTGCGTGTGTGTGTGTGGTTGGGTTTTCTGGACCTCACTGTGTAGATACTCAAACGTTAAGAAACCAACAAGAAATGCATGAAACAAAAATGGATGACTAATAAAAATATCCAACTGCCATATTAAAAAGCAGCATGCTACTTTAACAGGAGATACAAAAATAAAAAGTTTTATTCAATGATGTAAGCCAACAACAGAGACTATGAAATACTTTATATTTTTTGAAATATTGACAAAAACTATATATAAAAAGGGAAATGTATACCTGCATTGCTATTAAGCCAAAACTTGTGTTCCTTTCCCTTTTTTTTTATTTTAATTTTTGGTTCATTTACATTTTTTTCTTAGTCTCAGCTAATATTACTTGCCACTATATAAGTACACATAGTTAGCTTTCTCTACAAACACTTAGTATAATGCTAAAACTATATTCTATATTCTTACCAATTACTCTGGGCTGCACAGTGAAAACACAAATCAGCAGTATTTACACTTACCTTTGCACAGTCTAATCACACTGATTTAATTTCACTTTTTGGCTGCTGCTACTTACAAAAGCATTAAATGATGATGAGGAATATCTCACTCCCCAACTACAGTTTTATGAAAACAAGAGGGCAGATTGGTGTGCAGCAAAGGCTGAAAGAGTTAAAAGTGAATTCTGGACACAGTGTGTTTATATCTTTAGTATAGACCTATATACTATTCACGTGCCATAAAAAACAAGGTGAGTGAATTCACTCACTGTAAACCAACTAACAAAGAGCTAATGTGTGGTAGTCATCATTTGTTTCCTGTTGGATCAGAACTGATGAGACGTAGTACTTGGAGTTGGCCACAGAGGGCATTTATCAAAGTGAAATAAGTAATTTTTTCTTTATAATATATATATATATATATATATATATATATGAGGATGAGGGTGTTTTTTTTTTTTTTTTTGGTTGTTGCTGGTTCACCATTTGAGTCTTTAGCTGCCTTTGTCAGATGTACGAGTTTAGTGAGCCATTAGATTGTGTGTGTGTGTGTATGTGTGTGTATGTGAGAGAGAGAGAGAGAGAGAGAGAGTTCCACATATGTTAAATAACTAAATTATTTCTCTTCCAAAGCAATCAAAAATGAATGACACCCTCTCATCTCTCATCTCTCTCCACCTCAGTCTTATGAAAGTTATTTATGCGTTTCCACCTGAGCGGCCCTCTTTTCCTGATCACAAACAATACGTTAATGATTGTCACTGTCTTTGTAAAGTACAAAGAGGAGAGTTGGAATCACACCCATTTAATCGCTATCAACAAAAGGTTCAGGACAAGTAACAGTATTTTTTTCAGTGATGTTCAGATGTGAGTCAGTGAAGAAACTATGTACATGTGTAAAACATTTGCAACAATTTCAACTGAAGGCAAATATGTTATTTTTTCGTTCAATATTGTTCTTGATGATTATGATATCCTCTTGTCGCAGTCCTATATTTGATGGTGACAGCCTCTCAACTGAAGGCTATTGTATGTTAAAAACAACAAATGTTTCATGATACATGGTTGTGTATCATATTGTGATTGTGTTGTACATGTCAATGGGTAGCCACATGACACGGGCAAACAGAATTAACTGAGGAGGATATTTTGTACTAGTGTATTTGTCTGTATTGAATTGATCTGAAAAACCAAACAGAGGATTATTGATATCCATCTCGCACACATCGGGCCTTTATGCACATGAGCATTAACACGTATGACGCATTGCGCCTTGATCATGTTGACGTCACTCCCACATTAAATATGCATAGCAACACATACAGTAAAAACCTAAAAAATAACAGAAAGGTGAATCTATCTGCATTGCTAGTCATTCTGCCTGCTTCTTGTCAGGCTGCTGTGGCATTCCTTATGCCTAAATGGCCTTCAGACCCATTTGTTTTCACCAAACTGAAGTCAACTGAAATCCTAAAGCAGTGCCACGTGGATTTCAGGAATTACACATGGTTTGATTCAATGAGGTGTCTTAAACATTCAAAAAATACATTTCTCTCCTAATCTCTGTACCGTCAATGAGATTTGTGTACAGTGCAGTTCATTCAATGGCAGAGAAAACACACAAAAAAACATAAACAAAATAAAATAATAATAATAAAAAAAAATAATCTGACTTCTACTGACAGGGTGTTTTGTTAGTATGTTTTTGGTTTGTATGTTTTTGGTTTTTATATTACTGTACAGTTCAATCTTGGGAGAAAGGTAAAACAAAAAACGATAAAAGATTAAGACATTCTTGGGATATTTTTCTCTGTATATGTTGTACCTGTTACTGCTGGTACTGTATCTGGTATTCTGGCTCTGTCTAAATCACTGGAACTGTGTAGTTCTTCACACTGTAGTATCCTGAAAAAAAAACATTTCTCTGGTTTTCTCAATGATGGCAGCAAAGTTTGTCTTATTTAAATGGATTCTACCACTTTTTGTTCTTATTGATATTATACTAGTGTAATAGAAATTACTTGACAAAAAAGAACTGAAAATATGTTGATGCAAAAGCAAACTGAAATAAACATTGATTGATGTACACAGTTGAGAGCTCTGTTTCACTGACCCTTCACTAGAATCAGCTGCGGTTGTTTTGCTTGTATAAAGTACAATCTGGTGAATTTACAGAGGATCATCTGGGCATCTCTACATCAGCTGCTTTCAACTAGTAACAGAAAGGAAGTGGAGCTTAATCATGTTAAGCAGGCTTGAACATGGAGCATGGATTTATGTAAATGCCACTTTATACCACGACTCCACTAATTCTGAGGGAAATTGTACTTTATATTGAACTACAACTAACTATTACTTAACTAATAATTAAGATTTTAAACTAATAAAATATAATCTATTGTTACAATAAAATCACACAACAGCATAAAAAGCTTCACATTCAACTACAACACTCAAATACTATAGTACTATAGCCTTTTTCTGTGTTGAGTAATAACCTTTTTAGTTCATTTTCTACAGTGTGGTGTTACTACATTTACTAAAGGACATATGCATACTTCTTCTCCTACTCAAAACATTGGAAGACAGCGAGAAAGTGCATTCATTTATTAGCAAATCACCCTATAACTGTCCAAGCTTCCAAAAATTTACTTAAACCCCCCCCCCCAAAAAAAAAACAAAAAAAAAAACAGCTACTGAATAAACCTATAAAAATAAGCCACATTCACGGTCCCATCCCATTCATCAGCATCATGTCCAGCATGTATCCCCAAGGCTGGAACTTCCGCATTTATGTGCAATCAAATTTCAGATCAGATCAGGAGTCGATTTCTCTTTCAGCCAATCAGACTCAGCTTCGGTGGAGCGGCGACCAATCAGATCAGCACATCGTGCGAGCTCGCCCCGCCCCCTGTTCATTCAGCAGTTAGTTTACTCAGCTGTACAAGGGTTGTTTTTTTATTTTTATAGAAGTAACGTTAGTTAACAGGAACCTTCGTGTCACTAAAAGCATATGTAAACCATTAAATTATACGCGTATGTCGGCTACATATTACCGGCTAGCAATGCCACCGCTGAATAGTGTTATTTAGTATGGAAACGTAACGAAGTAACGTTTTACCCAACCTTAGAGACTTCTATCTTGATGGGAGTTTTTTTTTTTTTTATAAATATTTCTAGAACAATAATGGCGAATTTGTGTTAAGTTAATCATTGTAGGGAGAAAAGTAACGTTAAGGGACAAGGCCGACGCTGGACAGTTATGTCTCTTCGACTATCTTCGTGGCTGCTGCTCTTCTGCCTGTTCAGACACGAACTCCTCCCGGGAGCTCAGGCAGGCTCGGTACCCAGTGCCGCAAAAACTTTAGTATGGGGACCTGGACTGGAGGCAAACATTGTGCTTCCAGCTCGGTTCTTCTACATACAGGCGGTGGACAGCTCGGGGAGAAAGTGAGTAGTAGCAAAGGCCTGCTAATAGCTTTTGTTGCAGCAATGGTATTTTTTTTTTTCCAGTAGCAACATGTAAATGTTTTATTGGCATGCAATGCTGCCTTAAAGTGCTCCACGTAAAATCCAAACTTTTGTAAGGTGGTATAGGTCAGTATATTTTCACATGAATTAAAATATGTTCTGTATTATATGTGTATAAGTGGAGACATGAGCTGTGTGTGTCTACTCATTTGATAAAAACTACAATGTGTGAAAACATTTTATCTTTATCATTGCTGAACAACTCTCCAGCAAAGATGTAGCCTCCATTAGGATTTGTTTTGTCTACACTTTTTCAGTGTTTTTTAAAGAAAATATAGATATAGAGTGTAAGATTCTGTTAAACTTTAATGCTCATGTTTTCCCATCAAGATACGAATGCAAAATGACACATGAAAAACCTAACCTCCTTTCCAATTTTGTTGACGTGGGACATTGTAACTGTATTTCTGTCTGCAACTGAGGACTGCACGACAACAAAGAACAGACAATGTAGTAAATCTTTTCAACCACGTTGATATTTGAGACTAGTCAATAGTGAGAAAGCAGACATGAAAGTGTTAGACAGCCTCCGGTGACCCCTTTCATCAAAAAGCTCCCATGGGCCCAATGAAGGCATCCCACTTTATGTGTAGTTATTCAGTGGGTGTCACTTAAACACGTACTTTGGGTCTCAAGATAGAGATCAGTTTCTCACTTCCATTCATGCGTATAACAAAAAACGACATCATTGTTGTCTGCTGGTTAGGGAAGCAGCAGTATACCTTTTCACATCATACAATGACGCTTATCATAACATGTACATTTGATCCAGGTATTGAGTTGTGCTGTATTAGTGTTATTAAAAATCTATTGAATTCTACTGTATTGGTATTTCTAAAAAAAAAATCTAGACCTAGGTGGAACCTTTTGTAAAAAATGAGTGTTTGATCAACAAAAACAAAACTTTTCATTATTTTATTATTTATTTTATTTTAACGTTAATTTTAGCTGATAATAACAGCAAAAGTAATAATAATGATGACTGTGTAATACTGTGAAACTGACTGTGGTTTTGTGGGCCAGCATGCTAGCATTTTTCCGGCTTTGTTCTCTCTTGACAGGAGCGCGTTCTCCATATTCTCTCCCTCACAGTTTAACAGCATCGCCTGGTGAGAAGACGTTTGAAGTGAAGATTGTGTCTCCAGTGGAGGAGTTCACCAGGATTTGGATCCAGGTTCTGGATCGCCAGGATGGCTCTTTCCTGGTCCGCTACAGAATGTACGCCACCTACACCGACCTTTACATCCACATTCTGCTCAAGAACAAGCACGTTGCCAACTCACCATTCATTCTCAATGGTAGGACACCATCAAAGCTGCCTACTGTGTATGTTTAGGAGGAGATCTGGGTTTGTCCGGCTCCACTAACTGATAAATATGGCACGTTTATGGCAGGTGAAAGAGGTGGATGTTAGTTATGTGTCTGTGCTTTTCCTCTACAGGCCCAGTCTACCATGAGGGCTGTGACTGCCCCCAGTCCAGTGGGTCTGTTTGGGAGTCCCACATGCACTGTCCTCAGTCCTTCCCCCAGATAGACCGGGACCTGGCCCTCTATGCTAGCGTCGACCCAGAACGCAACGCACAGGAGATCCCGCAGCGCTTTGGACAGAGACAAAGCCTCTGCCACTACACTGTTAAAGGCAACAAGGTACCTCACACCTATGACACCAGAAAAAAAACGTAAGAAATAAGTAATAACATAAGCAATTATTATCAAGCAAACAGCCAAAAGAGAAGACTTACGTCAAAATGTAATGTCAGCCAGGAGAGCCTGGAGCTGTTTGACACACCTGTAAGAACAGGTGTTCAAGAGTTCACTCTTCTCAAAATACCACTGTGTACGTCAACTC